ATATATATAAATCACAAAACAAACAATATTAAAAAGGTAGCATGTAAGGGTGGGTTTTTCAATAAGGCAAATTTGGTATAAATCTATAAAAATATGCTGCCACAAAATGGCGCAGTTGAAAATTTCTTAAAGATGAAGAAAGAGGCCTACAGCCAATCAGATTGTAGCGTGGGATGTTAGCCAATCAAAAACCTCAAAACGATGGAGGCACCAAGAAGGGGGGAGCGGCACCCTAAGGGGGGCGATGTTCGTAGCAACCTTTTAACAATACTTGTCAAACAGTCTAATGGAGGGTTTATGTGTCGCGACATAATATCAGCTACGTATATAACTTGCATTTATGCCTACTCCACATAAAACTCAACACATATATAGAATTGAATAAGGCCATCATAAGATGACAATTTATTATAATGACATCATGACACAAACTATGAAAATGATGTTTACTGTCAATTTACATCCTTACATATTAGTAGCGCGATGGTAAAAACTTGATTGGATGGTTGACCCAATGTTTATTGAGTCTAGATTTAAAAACATTTAAGGTTGGGGAATCTACCACAATTGTAGGGAGTTGATTCCAATTATTTACAATTCTATTTTTAAAAGCATGTCCCCTAATGTTGGTCTTGCACCGATTTTTTTTTCATTTTTTTTTAGTTTCCCCTCGTATTGAAGTTGTCGAAGGCAGGGATGATTTGTTTGTTGGTGATATCTGTGGTGTTTATCAGCTTATAGATTTCTACCATGTCAGATCTTAGTCTTCTATATTCAATTGATGGTAGGCCTAGCCGACGGATACGCTCAGGGTAAGAGAGATCTTTAAGGGATGGAACTAGTTTGGTTGAACAATCTCTAAGGAGAGTTGGTCTTTTTTTTTAGTATAGGTGACCATGTGGTGACATTCATTTCAAGGTATGGACGTACCAAGGATTTATAGAGGTTGAGAAACATTTCTTTGTTTTTAAACAGCAGTGTGTGATAGTAGGTGCGGGTCAAATTCCTTCTGTAGCCAAAAGTGGTTTTGTTGGAGACCCACATTTGGTTGTACATGTAAGTCTATGTTAAGTTCTACAGAAAACGAGTGCCACAATCCGCCGTGATAAGGATCCCTATCCTACTGCATTGCGTGTTTACCTAAAGTAACATACCCTTAACTTCTGCTTGGATATAACTGTTATACAGTTGGACCAAGGCACTTCTGATGAACAAGTAGCCCAATCGGTTAGAGCGATATGGCATATTATTCTGTAATCCAGAGTTCGAATCTTGGTCTAACCCCGCTGTTGTTGTTATTTTTACATTCTTAACACTATTTTTATTTGTTGCTCATTTCATCTTTATGATCTTAATATGAAGTAATGGATTGTTATCAAAAAGAATGTATTTGTAAATGAAAGCTTAATTTGAGGAGAGTAGGACGTGAAGAAATGGGTCTCATCCTTAGAAACAGCAGAATACATCTGTATTACTACAGAAATGCAATACAATGTACACATCATAGAAGTTATCTATTGTGAACAAAAAAGAAATGAAAAATAGCAATCAAATGATAATCAAGGACAGTAGAATAAAACAAATAATTATAATCATTAAACTAGAGCATACATGTATTTTCAAACCTTTAGCAAGGAGGTTAAGCAATATAGTGATGATCTACGCGTTTATTTGTTTAATGCTTTTGTACATTGAAAAGAACGAAAGATAGACATTAGAGCAGTGTGTTCTATTATCAGCTACATGATTATGTAAAACAAAGAAAATCGATCTGTCCGATTCTATTGTTTAAAAAAAGTACTTTGAATTATTGCATGACTAATACATATATGTATTTGTGAAACAGAACCATGTGACGGGAAGTGTTCTGTCACGGCCTATCGTGATTACCATGACAACCCGTGTACATGTAAGCCTGGTTTAGTGGGCGATCCTCTGTCGGGAAGTGTTCTTTCACGGCCTCTTGTGATTACCATGATATCACGTGTACATGTAAGCCTGGTTTAGTGGGCAATCCTTTGTCAGGAAGTGTTCTGTCGCGGCCTATCGTGATTACCATGACAACACGTGTACATGTAAGCTTGGTTTAGTGGGCGATCCTCTGTCGGGAAGTGTTCTGCCACGGCCTATCGTGATTACCATGACAACACCTGTACATGTAAGCCTGGTTTAGTGGGCGATCCTCTGTCGGGAAGTGTTCTGCCACGGCCTATCGTGATTACCATGACAACACCAGTACATGTAAGCCTGGTTTAGTGGGCGATCCTCTGTCGGGAAGTGTTCTTTCACGGCCTATCGTGATTACCATGACAACACATTTACATGTAAGCCTGGTTTTGTGGGCGATCCTCTGTCGGGAAGTGTTCTGTCGCGGCCTATCGTGATTACCATGACAACACGTGTACATGTAAACCTGGTTTAGTGGCGATCCTCTGTCGGGATTTGAGCGTAAGTTGATATAACAAGGTCATCCGTTTTTTATTCACAGATATAACACCCGTTTCCAAATACATACTGTAAACTATTTTGTACAACTACATATGTAATACATGTATGAAATTGTCGAAAAACCTTTGTAGTTTTCTGAAATGAGTTATTGACTTTTTGCAGTATCCAGGCTAACGACATAATACAGTTCTGTCTATTACTTATTGTTTGTTGTTCATGTATTATCTATATCGTGCTGAGTGTTCAATAAAGTTCTGTTCTGTATACCACATCAACAAATAATGGGTGATCGAGTAAGGTCACAATCAGCCCCCGGTAATTAACGAAAATATACACTTGAAATGTAATTATATTACTGTGTTCACAACAGTGTACATTCCTAAACTTAACAACATTATTCTATATAATTTTACTCTGATATGTATTTTCCTAAGATGAAAATATATCTGTGAAAGTCACACGACTCGTTTTACCATTATGACCGATGTTGAACATTGCGAAACATAAAAATAGGACATCCGTACAAAAGTAAATATACAATGTATGATTGATAACTATTTACTTAAAGTCTATTATTTGTGACTTTTAATAGCCACGTCTCTCTTTGTTTGTGTGTTTATAGAATGATGTGATGTTTATCTGGAAAAAAATGACACTGACGTTGTTTTATGGCAAGCTCAAAGAGAAATTAGAAAAAGAACATTATTGAACTAAATATAAATAAAAATATCTTAGAAAGTATTTTAACTGCATGGTGTGAATACCATTTTCCTGCCATTTTTCATTGCAGGTATTGGATTGTTTGACTAATAAAAAAAAAACACGCTCAACAATAAAATATTTCGTTTGATGTTGAAAAATACATGTAGCAAAGCATAATATTATCATTTAAAGCTATTATCAAAACAACTATTTCCCTCGCGGCAAAGATTAGGGGATTTCCTTACAGGCCATACTTCTCTACAACAACTTAAAACAAATCATCAATTCTTATAGTGTTAATAATACAAAATAAATAACCAGCATATGTAGATACTATGGGGCAAGACAATTTAATATAATAATTTGTCAGCTACGAAATCATGCTAGCAACCGAAATAGTGAATTGTATATGGATCTTCTAAATGACACACCAGCAAGTAGATGTGGACATGAAAATAAAAATGTATTTCATTTTATATTTAAATGCCCACTTATTACATTAGGGTGCAATTAGTACAAATATTTCTCAATATTTGGTATAACTGATACCATGCTCATTATCTAAAAACTATGAAAAATTCTGAATGTTAACAAAATGTGTATTTTATTGGAAACTTATCCTATAAATCCAGTGGGTGGATGGCCAATGTGTTATTCCCTGGTCTGTTAGGCCTATGCCCCTTGGATTTCATGTAGGAGGGGTTTCAACAAATATACTTGATTTATTCATTTGTTAATACCCAAATAGAAAATGATTGAATATTGAATAGTCAAAAAAACACATTTCACATGCTTAATTGGAGCTTTCTCCCCTACACTGTTTATTTGGATTGTAATGACAGGGTGCATGTCTTGTTTGTAAACAAGTTTGAAAATTACTTAAATAAGCCTAGCCTGATATTCAATCCAATTGACATTCATTGAGAAACTGGTCTAAATGAGTTTTTGAGGAAGTGATCATGTATATATGGGGTATGGCGTATTGGATTGTGAATCTCTATAACATATACAAATATGTAGGGTTTCTGATGTTCAGCAATCACAGACTTTTATAAATAACGTCACAATTTACAACTTTTTCGCAAAAAAATAACAAAAAATAGAAATTGAATCAAAACAGTACGGTATTTCTACCTATAAATAAACACTGGTATATTACAATCAACACAGTATGATCGAACTACTATAGTATCAATACAATTATCAACACGGTACGAGTACGTTACATATAAATATACACTGGCATACCATACATGTACATGCACCATCTTACTTTCTTCTTCTAACACCACTGTTCTGACTTCAAGCCATGAACCAGCAGAATGTATGACTTCTGCTGTATCGAAGAACTGGTATGTGGAAAAAAATCACATTCTAAATTTTATATAAACGTGATTCTTTTCAAATAAGATCTTATTATATACAAAAAACCGCAAGAGAATACCGAAATGTTAACAAAACCATACTTCAAACTCCAAATCAAACAAAGGTACGTATTGAAACTTGGTGTGTAAGACTGAGACCGTTGCAATTCGGCTGTGCTGGGCCGTCAGGTCAATCAGGGTTAGAAGATAACACCCAGAGGTCGCCTGTTAACCCGTACGTGGGTTTTTTAATTAATATGACCAGACCTTCCGAAGATCATATTTCCTCAGACTTCTTGAACCATTTTTCATTCACTGTAGATGAACCTCTTGTTATATTATATAATTTGCAGAAAAAAAAATATCTAGTTCTTCATCTTCATCTGTGTAACTGTTTGATAGCATGTTTTAGGTCTCTGTGTATTAAATTGTTTAGGCTGACACAGTTTTAAAGTTCCTTATTCTATATTTAGCACACGATCGCAATACATGTGCGCATGTGCACTTTGTATTAGCTGTTTAGCCCGTCTTGAACTGTACATGTGTTTGAGTACGGATGCATGCAAATTAACCTGAACTAGTCTGGTAAGTGCATGACGTTCTTTGTTGATAATGTCTAAAGGTAAATAGCAATACTATATTGGTTTAATTTTATTCGTTAAACTTTGATCTTATCGACATTGGTCTGTCATCCGGTGTGAATGGAAATGACATCTAAAATTGACCAAAACATATATTTATCTGTTCTATCTTTCCTGGTCTACACAATATCTCACAAGTATGAATTATTCATCATATTCTCCTCAATGAACGGATGTTTCGATACGATATTATAGGTATACTCAAAAATTCACAAATTCATTATATAATCATTGTTAAACCGAAAGTAGAAGTACCTATAGGGTTTTACACTTGTAACACGACTGGTACCCGTGCCACTGTGAAGTGACCCTGATTTATACAAAGGCCAAAATTCTCGACTAAAATATATTTACAGTGTTAATTAAGCTTTTCTTTATTATATTTTGTTCAATCTGATATCAAATTGGCTCTGTAAATGTCAACAAACCCCCTAAAAGATGCTGCATAGTCACACTAAATGTCGGACCCCTGATAAGTCATATTCAAATACCTAAATTAAAACTCGGTACTTATATATACTTTGGCTATTACAAAAGTATTAAAGATATGGAAAAGGCAGAAAAGCATTAAGGCCGACGTCAAATAGTTAACCGGGCTTTTGACATGTCAATCTCCTATGCGATCCAGCTGAGTGCTAAGAAATGACCCTTAATTTAAAGTTTGTTTATTTCTCTTCTATTAGCTGTTGAGCGGAACTTAACCTCAAATCAAGATAGTTGTTGCCATGCGAAACCACTTTAATCACAGTAGAATCCCCCTAGTAATATGTTTTTTTGCAGATCATAAATAAGAAAACAAAGGCTAAGTAACCTTGATCGAAACATGAACTTAAGAAGATGTGCCATTTAATAGCATTCTGTGATGTAATGAATGCGCTAGACAGGTTATAAACATTTAAACTCGTATATTTTTTTTTTATATCAACGCTATTTTTAAGAAAGGACACTTTATATAAAGTTTATGTAGTTTTTGTGGTCATAGATCTCTGGGTTTACATATGATTACCAGTAAAATGTGTTATCCGGAACCTTTACTATTGTTTGTACATTCTCATAGACACAATCATCTACTTTTGTTACCGGTATGCCTCTCCACACATAGTTAAAGACAACCTAAGCTCCGCATGACCTAGGCATATACATGGACTTTAAATGATATATCATTTTGTAGCATTACGTTGGGTCTCAAAAGAGATATTGACATGTTGTAAGTCCGGTCAGCTATTTTTATGAAGACATCAGCCTTAATGCTTTATTATTTAACCTGGTTGTGTGTCCTTTTAATAGCTAATGTACAAGTTCAGTATATTCAATTGACATATATATATATATATATATATATGGGCAAAGAAGTAATTCCAACAGTGTGGACAAGTTTAGGTTGCTACCGGTATATATATACATTTCAATTTTTGATAAGGGTATTTGAAAATGACTTACCAGGGGGTGAAATTGTGGGTGTCTTTAACATCTTGTAGAGGGCTTTTTGAACCTTTAACATAGATTGTAGCATTTCGCCATCGTGACGCAACTTATCTGAGAATATGAATAGGTCAGCATGTGTTGCTAAACCTAGAAAAGTGTTTCTTTTTTTAGGGGGAGGGGGGCTTGTGTAATACTTTTTTTTCCAGATTTTACTCGATGTAGTACATGTATGCTTCAGGGAAAATTAATATGAACCCGAATGATGGGACTCCGATTCAAATTTGCATTTTTTGTCATTTAGCCCGCTAAACCTCTGTCGTTTCAATGCAATATATTCACGATATAAAAAGCTCCCATTTACTCTGTAGGTTGGTATCAGTGAATAGGCCTTTAGGGGTAGTTTCATTGTTTCAGACGATTATTTTGATATAATTGTGGCAAAGAAATCAATTTTAATAAATTACTGATATTCCGGTCGTAAACAACTCAAACTTGTTCATATTATGTCTGTAAATATATATATGAAAACTGCTGATGCGTGCTTCACATAAACAGTTTACCGACTATTTAGTGTCGGTATAATACCTTAACATAGGGTAGAAGGCTTGGATTATATGTCGTTAGTATCTACACATGGGTCAGCTGTAAGACAAGGATCTTTTATTCTACTCCAATACTCTATGTTAAATGGAACGTACAGTACCAGAGTGGAATAAACAAAAATCTGCGTTTAAATTAGATTGTCAAGTTATAATTATCGTCTAAGTATGAGTTATCTCTTTACAGTTTATACCTAAACAGCTATATGGCTTACACTGCCGAGGAAGCCGAGCTCAGGGTCCGCCAACTTCATTCTGAAATGTGTAAAGCCTTACATGGATACATTCATCCCTCACTGCAAGATAGCTGGGAAGTTTTCAAATTTCAGTTATCAATATATCTTACACCAAGGTTTGTGCAGCAGGCTAGCAGGAGCATCTTAACGGCAATGCAGGTAAATTATACTTGTTTTGATAAACCGCTGGATTGAATTACTGTGTTGCACAAAATGTATTTCTGGTTAGTATTGTTGTGACGCCATCAATTAACACTATACCTAGAAAGAGCTAATTCGGGTCAATATTTGTATTATCATCATTAGTATGTTTTGCTGTTTGTCGTTATTTACTCGATTTCTCGTTCTATTTTTTGTTGAACAATATTAGGTTCTGGAAGAAAAACATATAATCAGGGTTGGGGAATACAGCGCATTGCGAGACATGGTCAAAGACATTCACATCGAGGCTGCACGCATCATTGACAATTTCACCAGGCAGATTTCTGAAGTGAGAGCCAACGTAACAGTTCCCCCTCCCCACGAGATACACACTTCCCATCCTATACAGGAGCAAGGAGTGCCAGGTTTGTTGAGGTTTAAGTAGATTAACAGAGGTTTATTGTGTCTCTATAGAACATCAGTAGAGGTTTATTGTGTATCTATAGATCATCAGTAGAGGTATATTGTGTCTCTATAGATCATCAGTAGAGGTTAATTGTGTCTCTATAATCATCAGTACAGGTTAATTGTGTATCTATAGATCATCAGTAGAGGTTAATTGTGTATCTATAGATTATCAGTAGAGGTTTATTGTGTCTCTATAGATCATCAGTAGAGGTTAATTGTGTATCTATAGATTATCAGTAGAGGTTTATTGTGTCTCTATAGATCATCAGTAGAGGTTTATTGTGTCTCTATAGATCATCAGTAGAGGTTAATTGTGTATCTATAGATTATCAGTAGAGGTTTATTGTGTCTCTATAGATCATCAGTAGAGGTTTATTGTGTCTCTATAGATCATCAGTAGAGGTTAATTGTGTATCTATAGATTATCAGTAGAGGTTTATTGTGTCTCTATAGATCATCAGTAGAGGTTTATTGTGTCTCTATAGATTATCAGTAGAGGTTTATTGTGTATCTATAGATCATCAGTAGAGGTTAATTGTGTATCTATAGATTATCAGTAGAGGTTTATTGTGTCTCTATAGATCATCAGTAGAGGTTTATTGTGTCTCTATAGATTATCAGTAGAGGTTTATTGTGTATCTATAGATCATCAGTAGAGGTTAATTGTGTATCTATAGATTATCAGTAGAGGTTTATTGTGTCTCTATAGATCATCAGTAGAGGTTTATTGTGTCTCTATAGATTATCAGTAGAGGTTTATTGTGTATCTATAGATCATCAGTAGAGGTTAATTGTGTATCTATAGATTATCAGTAGAGGTTTATTGTGTCTCTATAGATCATCAGTAGAGGTTTATTGTGTCTCTATAGATTATCAGTAGAGGTTTATTGTGTATCTATAGATCATCAGTAGAGGTTAATTGTGTATCTATAGATTATCAGTAGAGGTTTATTGTGTATCTATAGATCATCAGTAGAGGTTTATTGTGTCTCTATAGATTATCAGTAGAGGTTTATTGTGTATCTATAGATCATCAGTAGAGGTTAATTGTGTATCTATAGATTATCAGTAGAGGTTTATTGTGTATCTATAGATCATCAGTAGAGGTTTATTGTGTCTCTATAGATTATCAGTAGAGGTTTATTGTGTATCTATAGATCATCAGTAGAGGTTAATTGTGTATCTATAGATTATCAGTAGAGGTTTATTGTGTATCTATAGATCATCAGTAGAGGTTAATTGTGTATCTATAGATTATCAGTAGAGGTTTATTGTGTCTCTATAGATCATCAGTAGAGGTTAATTGTGTATCTATAGATTATCAGTAGATGTTTACTGTGTCTCTTTAGATCATCAGTAGAGGTTTACTGTGTATCTATAGATCATCAGTAGAGGTTTACTGTGTATCTATAGATCATCAGTAGAGGTTTACTGTGTCTCTTTAGATCATCAGTAGAGGTTTACTGTGTATCTATAGATCATCAGTAGAGGTTTATTGTATCTCTATAGATTATCAGTAGACGTTTACTGTGTAATCATATTTAATTAATAGTTTTTTTAGTGAAGATAAAATTGAAAATGACTAGCTTGCTGCACATCTACAGTGAATGAATTGACATAAAATGAATATAGGGATGATTGTAATGTATTAGTCATTTTGGGTTATCATTTAATTATCAATTTAGTTTATCAGTTGGTCAGAAGAACGGAGAATAGTTATCAGTACGACGGGGATTAGTAAACAGTGGGCGGGGATTACTAGCAGGACAGGGGTTAGTTGTCAATAGGACAGGGGTTAGTTGTCAATAGGACAGGGGTTAGTTGTCAATAGGACAGGGGTTAGTTGTCAATAGGACATGGGTTAGTTGTCAATAGGACAGGGTAAGTTGTCAATAGGACAGGGGTTAGTTGTCAATAGGACAGGGGGTAGTTGTCAATAGGACGAGGGGTTAGGTGTCAATAGGACGAGGGGTTAGTTGTCAATAGGACGAGGGGTTAGTTGTCAATAGGATATGGGATTAGTTTTGAACAGGACAGGGGTTAGTTGTCAATAGGACGGGGGATTAGTTATCATTAGGATATGGGATTAGTTTTGAACAGGACAGGGGATAAGCTACAGTATCAGTTGGACGGGAGTAGGTTATCCGTCTGAACGGGGGTTCGTTATCTGTTAAGTAGGACCGGGATTAGGTGTCAGAGATTCAGAGATTTTCAGAGATTTTTATTATCACTCAGACACACTATTGTGCGCAACAAAAAGTACAATATAACAATGATATGGTTGACCGTAAAGCATTCATCTTACTATGCAAGCGAACAATAATATAGTGGAAATTATTACACTCCTCATACAATGATAAACACACTATTACACTGTTCATACGAACTATCATACCTTGTTATAATAGACAATATAACGCACTGCGCATACAATGACACTCATCATACAGTGATATACAGTATTACACTCATTTTACAATACTGTTACGATGGTATAATACATAGCATTTCATCTACCCATACCGTGCGTTCACACAGTGGTATAGCAGGCACTGGTGTATCCATCTTACAGTACAATCCTACAATAATATTATTACAGTGTCACACATATATTACTCGCACTACATGATACATGTATTATAGATAGTATTCCACACCATACAGTGCAATCATACCATGGCATAATAGTCACTATCATACTCATCATACCATATACTATTACAAAGGTATAAAAGACAGTGTTACAATCCTATCATGCAATACTGTAATAGACAGATACAAATACCTTCAATCAGGGATATAACAAACAAACCATGATAAACAAGCTATAACCACACTCATTATACAATGCAATTATGTTAGGTTTGTCAGTAATATCTATATGTATACAAAAGTTTACAGTTTGATGTGTGAAATTCACATATTATTTTTTAATTGTCTTTCTAGTTATTGTATGAACAGCGATAGATTTGATAATAATCTAACATTGCATATTGATATTAACCCTTTCATTTTATGAACAGATGGATTAGAGGTAATAAATAGGTATATATTTTCTGCGGATTTGACTTACATAAGCATTTGAACATATAAACAAATAATGATACTCGCTTTCAACTCCAGTAAAACAAAGCGGCCAGATTCTGTATTCACGTGGTGTTCAACATGATCGGGGATCAATTTTGAATAGTTTTGAATAGTTTTGAATAGAACGTCATTTTTTATCAGTAGGACAGGCAGTTGCTTTTCTGTGATACCAGGGAGTTACATACCAATGTAACACAACTCTATTTGTTTTGTAGGGTATCTAGTGCACCAATACTAAGCTGTGAAAGGCAAACAGTAAACATAGAATTCGGTATTGAAAATGTACAGCCTATCTAGAATTATGGACAGTATACAGAGTACCTTGAATTGATATGATGAACGTATTGTTTTATATATTTACATTTTACTCGAAGGGCAAGTCCAGCAAACACAAGCTACTCACCCAGTGGAACCACAAGGAATGCCTGATCCAATCCCAATCTTTGGAGGAGGAGGTACGTTATGTCTACTCAATGGAGGAAATACAGGTATACTTTACCAGACAGAGATTTATCTGTACGTTATATCTACTCAATAGAGGAAATACAGGTATACTTTACCAGACAGAGATTTATCTGTACGTTATATCTACTCAATAGAGGAAATACAGGTATACTTTACCAGACAGAGATTTATCTGTACGTTATATCTACTCAATAGAGGAAATACAGGTATACTTTACCAGACAGAGATTTATCTGTACGTTATATCTACTCAATAGAGGAAATACAGGTATACTTTACCAGACAGAGATTTATCTGTACGTTATATCTACTCAATAGAGGAAATACAGGTATACTTTACCAGACAGAGATTTATCTGTACGTTATATCTACTCAATAGAGGAAATACAGGTATACTTTACCAGACAGAGATTTATCTGTACGTTATATCTACTCAATAGAGGAAATACAGGTATACTTTACCAGACAGAGATTTATCTGTACGTTATATCTACTCAATAGAGGAAATACAGGTATACTTTACCAGACAGAGATTTATCTGTACGTTTTATCCATCAATAGAGGAAATACAGGTATACTTTACCAGACAGAGATTTATCTTTATGTTTCTGAAATCTTGAAGCAGAGATAAAAAGTCAACCAGGGTAGACAAAAAGATTAATCGTTCTGCGTGTCACGTATTTCAGAGAAAATCTTCAGTTGAGCGGCCAATTCAATGCTTTGTAACTAGTTATCAGCAGAGAAGGTAATTAGTTATCAGCAGAGAAGGGAATTAGTTATCAGCAGAGAAGGGAATTAGTTATCAGCAGAGAAGGGAATTAGTTATAAGTAGACACGGTAATTAGTTATGAGTAGAGAAGGTCACTAGTTTACAGTCGAGAAGGGAATATGTTATCAGTAGAAAGGATAATTAGTTATGAGTAGAGAAAGTAATAAGTTATCAGTCGAGAAGGTAATTAGTTATCAGTAGAGCAGCAATAACTAATGAGAAGAGAATGTAATACGTTATCAGTTGAGAAGGCAATTAGTTATCGGAAGAGAAGATACTTTGTTATCAGTAGAGCAGGAAAATAGTTATGAGTAGAGAGGGAATTAGTTATGAGGAAAGAAGGTAATTAATTATCAGTTGAGTAAGTAATAGTTATCAGTAGAGATGGAAATTAATTATAAGTAGAAAAGAAAATTATTTATGAGAAGAGTAAGTAATTAAGTATCAGTAAAACAGGGAATAAGTTAGCAGTAGAGAGTGTTTTTAGTTATGAGTAGAGAAGGTAATTAGTTATCAGTAGGGAAGGTGCTTATATAATTAGTTATAGTAGAGAAGGTAATTCAATACCAGTAGAGAAGGAATTAGGTATCAGTAGATAAGGTTATTAATATTATGAGGAAAGAAGGGAATTAGTTTTGAGTAGAGAAGCTATTATTCATGGGTAGGAAAGGTAATTAGTTATCAGTAGAGAATGGAATTAGTTATCAATAGAGAAGGTAATAAGGTATTATTAGGGAAGGTAATTAGTTATCAGTACAGAGGGGAATAAGTTATCAGTAGACGGTAAAAAGTTATCAGTAGAGTATGGAATTAGTTATCAGTAGAGAATGGAATTAGTTATCAGTAGAGAAGGGAATTAGTTATTAGTAGGGAAGGTAATAAGTTATCAGTACAGAAGGGAATAAGTTATCAGTAGACGGTAAAAAGCTATCAGTAGAGAAGCGCATTAGTTATCAGTAGAAAGGGGGATTAGTTATCAGTAGAGAAGGTTATAAGTTATCAGTAGATAAGGTAATTAATTATTAATAAGTAAAGAAGGAATTTAGTTATTAGTGGAGAAGGGTAATTGTTATCAGTAGAGATTGGAATTAGTTATCAGTAGAGAAGGGAATTAGTTATCAGTAGATAAGGGAATTAGTTATCAGTAGAGAAGGGAATTAGTTACAGTAGATAAGGGAATTAGTTATCAGTAGAGAAGGGAATTAGTTATAAGCAGATAAGGTAATTAGTTATCAGTAGAGAAGGTAATTAGTTATCAGTAAGTAAGGGAATGAGTTTATGAGTAGCGCACGTAAATAGTTTTGATAAGAGAAGGGAATCGGTCATCAGACCGGAATTGTAACTACATGTATCAGAAGCATGGGAATTTATATCGATTTGATATTCAATCGGAGGATCTCCCATCTTCTGTACGTATGTATTTTATTGTAAATTATCATTGCAGCATATTTTGATTACCAGCCTGAAACAGATCGTCGTTTATTCCAGGAAGGTAATAACAATTAGTAGATTCCTTTTATCCTAAATTAGTTGCCGTAAGGTATAAGGCAAGTAGCCTTGATATTTTAACGCTCAGTTAACATTGAACATTGGATGTTACCTACCAGGACAATTACTTGAGCTTTCTCGTGGTACTCCGGTTCACTTTCATGTTATAACCCCCTTACACACTGCCTTCCGGACCAAGAAGAGTATTTAGAATAGGTTTGTAGAGCGCTTGTTGTAAAAGTTTTAAGGTTAAGATACAATCTAATCAGAATAAAACCTTTTTTGTTTAGGTACAACTACCCCCTTAATAAATAACATGACAAACACAATTTCAACTCCTTGCCCTGCCCTTGTTCTCGTGGGACTATTTTATGTTATCCGAGTACATCTGTTGAGTAGATATGTTTTTATCACGTTTCAGTTGATGGCTTTATTGATGTACCGGAACCAGTGTACCAAAGAGATGGAGCTGTTCCGCCTTTTATTCAAGGTATCTTATATGCATATCATGTTCCTGAACACATTTTCGCGTTTTGCTTCATTTCTTAATTTTGTTAAGATTTTGTGTGTGGGTTGGTCATAACATATACAATGTACCCGATTTATTTCATTGCACACATAATTTATATTCTAAATTTATTTAATATCATTATATTGATATGTTATACATTTTCGATATAAAGAACTATGTAGATATGCTATATTTAATGTATAGATATGAATTAGATATTTTATATATCGAATTATGTATTATATATTTTATGTTTGAAATTATCGATAGGAAAAATATATATTATATACATATACTCACGCCGATATGTATAACACGTTCTGTATCAAGAACTATGTTGATTTAGAATGCATGTTATGTATATAAGTTTATGTTAATGTGTAATATATTTTCTTTATACACATTTTTAATATAAAGAATAATTTTGATATGTTATTGATATTCTATATGTAGAACTCTAGTGACATTTATAGGATATTTTGTATATAACTTTGTTGATATGTTATATATATTCTGTATAATATTTGTTCAATTTCTTTTTATTATTAAATTAAGTTAAAGATTAATAGCTTTACTATTGAAGACACTGATGGTAGGTTTAAGGACGCCACTTGCAGCCAAAGTGACATCGATACTTATGAACAAAGAAACATTCAGAAGAGACGGGAGGACACTTACAAAACAGTTCATAAAAAGTTATTTTAGAGGAAGCCACTGACAGATTTAGTGTTAATGTCACTTTCGCGGATGGTAACTGTAGTACTGTTACCTTGTACTTCAAAAAGACATCGAAACATTTGACTGTTGATAATGACATAGACAATAGTGATTAGGTAAATATACTGACAGAACCATATATTTAAAAAGGTAGGCATGTGGAAAGCCAAACTCAAAGGAACAAAAACAAAAAATAACAAAAAAGTAGGCATGTGGAGAGCCAAACTCAAAGGAACAAAAACAAAAATTAACAAAAAGGTAGGCATGTGGAAAGCCAAACTCAAAGGAACAATAACAAAAAATAACAAAAAAGTAGGCATGTGGAAAGCCAAACTCATAGGAACAAAAACAAAAAATAACAACAAACACACACACACTCACACACAATAAAACAGCAGACAACAAACAAACAGACTTTAAAATTGATAATCCCCAAATAAGAAATGTTTAGGGGTCTTATTGGTTCCACAACACATACGCACTTGATCGTCATAAGATGCGTTATTATCAGAATTTCTCTTCAGCATTGGGGACATAAACTATGATTCATTATAAGAAATATAATAGTGACTCGGTACATTATCTTACAGGTACAATTTAATATTTTAATATGGAGACATCCTTTAATTTTAGTTCCTGGTGCAGACGCTGAACCAGAAGGACAAATTCAAGAATTACGCAGGGGTCAAGGTAAAAATCTACCAATAAGTGAACTTCAAAGTTTCTATTGGAACTGTAGACAACCTCAAAAAGCAAACAGCACTTTGTATACTAATTCAAAAATTAACATTATATAAGAAGTGAAATTTTATATCAAATACACTGTAATTGAATAAGGTATGTTGCATTGTAATGTGACGTTCAAATATAAGTACATAATTTTTTATAAGAAACAAATCACTGTTAGGTACAAAATGATACTTCGTTTAATTATGTAATTATTTCGGAAGTAAGTTAGTGAGTAACTTTCGTTGTTGATTCAGAGTTATTACATAAAAGTTAGATTGTACCTGCTTTAAGATATTTTTACCAGATTTCAATGGTCTTTACATGAAAAAATAAAGTTTTGCCCTTCTTGTGTAGTTTGCTATTCCTTTTGTTAGTGTTATTTGATTAATTTTGCACTAATTGCTCGATTTAATAGCTGAGGTTGTTAACCAGTTGGACACGGATGATGCTAACAGGGTGGAGCAGTTTTCTCCGAACATAGCACAATGTAAGTGTATATTATATATGATTTATCTGATGTCATTTATAACTCCTATGTATTACAAAGAATTAAGTCTTACACAATAATTTTCATTCAAAACTGATATTTAAAACAAATGTTAATTATTTATCAATATTCATTTTTTTTATTGTACTTTTTTTCATGAACAATCAATATTTAACAGATTTAATGAATTCTATTTTTCGTAACAAACGTTTTATCATTTATTGTGTATCATGTATGACTGATATTAAACAAGGTTAACTGTTTGTTATTATACGATGTACCGTTTTTGACTAACATTACAAAAGGAATGTACATTTTTTTCAAATGAAGCTTCTTTTATATATATTAATTAAATATTGTAAACGTCACAATGCACTACTGTATCAATAACTATTTTAACGATTTCTACCAAACAACCATGTGATAGGCATATTGAGCCAATACTCAGTACTGTAAAAAAAAACACCACAGGACATATCAATTAACATATATACATGTATACATAGTTTATAACTATACGAAATAATGATTTCTGTCGTATTTCACATCAGGTATCCATGCTATCAATTATGCTGTTTTATAGACTATGTGTTATTATATATAACAGTGATTGATCACGCTTCCTTCAAATGTGTACATTTTGTATGTACAGTTTATATAATTTCAACTCAGAATTACCATTTTAATCAAACTTAATGATAAAAATTACGGTCATTTTGTGATGACATTATAAAAACAATAAACACTAATTTCAGGTATGGAAGCTCTACAAGGAAGTATTGGTGACGAGATACAACACGTGGACCTGAACCGACAGTCTATCCTTGCTAATTTACTGGATTTGTATAATGACGAGACGATTGTTACCAAACGCTTGTATGTAAGGTTTGTAGGGGAAATCGGAATGGACACAGGTGGTCTAACAAAGGATGCGTTCTCGACCTTTTGGGACAGAGCCTTCAGAGAATATTTCAGGGGAGAGAACTCCCTTGTTCCATATTTAGGGGCCAGTAAATTTGCAGAGGCCCAGCGTGTGTACCCGATTCTAGGAAGGATTCTCAGTCACAGCGTGGCTCTAACTGGTACATTTCCTGTCCGACTCTCAAGGTATTTACATCTATTTTAAATATCTGCTCATTTAAACATCTTTATGTAAATCTGTATTATTATTCATTTATAGATGTAGGAAACGTAAAAAAAAAACCACAGGATGTAAAATTTAGGCTGCAATAAATGTTTATAACTTGTTTGGCTACGAGTTTTCGTGTGTAATAATTTTATACAAACACCTATCAATATTAAACCATTCAATAATAAATAGATTTATTTATTTTAATAAATATATTTTCACACCTTAACTTTGTTGAAATCTGAATCCGCATCCGTCATTAGCTACTATGTAGAGCAATTCCTGTATAAAGCAAACATCGTTTTAAAAGGAAAATGCACCGTTCTAGTTATTCCAGGTGCATAAGATATGTTTTGCGTTGAACACATAATGAATCATGTTGTTGTTTTTCAGATGCATGCTGTACACAATGATTCACAGTGCTGTTGTTGAAGATGAAGAGTCAATTTTGAAGGACGTTCTTTTGTTTCTCACTCCAAATGAGAGAATGTTAACCAGGAAAGGGCTGGCTGATTTCGATAACCTTACACAAGGAAATGTCAGCTCATTGCTGGATATGTTCACCAGGTATTCACTCACAGGTCAACCTAAAAAGGAAAACTTTCGACAGAATATTTTGAACTTAGGCAAAACACAGCTCTGTGGAACTTGCATGATGTTTACAACTTGGATGAAGTCCGGCATTCCACCTTCTCATTTAGAACTCTTTTGGAATCGACTGAACATAGAAGAATTAAATCGTATATACAGAGTGCTCGAACCAACACCGCAGAGAGTGATTGACCGTATTGAGACTGATGTAGAACACTTGCGTGAAGAGGAAGATCGTGTCTTTTATTTCTTGAAAGACTTTATTTCCGTCCTGTGTCCTGAGGACCTATCGCACTTCTTGGTATTCCTCACAGGTTCAGACGCCCTTCCACAGGATAGCCCTATAAAGGTGCTTTTCAGCCGTGTGGAGGGTCTGGCCATGCATCCTGTGGCGCACACCTGTAGCAACACGCTGGAGCTTCCAGTGGGTTACACATCATCCCAAGAACTCCGTCGCGACTTCATGACCATTCTTAACAACCCTGAATCCTACAGCATGACTATCTTGTAAGCTATTTGTTTATGTAGATTCGTGACAGGAACTGTAACATGGGATACAGAGTAAAAACTCTTGAAATATTTTGTTGATGGGTAACTATGAAATAAATATGTGTTTTTGCGATAGAGATGTATCATCAAAATTTAAGAAAAAACAGTGTACAAGCAAGTGTGGAAAAGACACACAGAGAGACAGGCATTTCGTCCACTAAATCTGACAGCGTGTGTCAGTCTCACACACTGCTTGCTGCTATTTGTCAGTTTAATTTGTAAGACTGACATATGCTGTCAGAATTATTGTATATGCGTATCAATATATGATTCATTTGACAAAGGATTTTAAAAGTTACCTGTGATTTTAGCAAAATTTTAATAATGTATTGAATATAATAATACAATATTCTAACTGATTAAAAAATACACGATGTTTAACGATGACATGAAAAAGCATACAAATTACAGTTGCAGACGCTCCACTCAATTTAATATTTACTTTTCCTGTGCACCATTGTAGAAGGCATATTTGGTCTTTGCAATTCTAAATACATTTACATTATTACAAAGGACTGAGATGAATTGTATACTAAAGCAATGTATGGTAAAGACTACTTACAAATATACAATTACTTAACATACGCAACATACTGTTTACACTAGAACTATATGTCTGAGGTAATATTTACATTTTCATACTGAAACAAATCATGCTTAAATTATGCTAGATAAATAATATGAAGATAGTTGAATTGGTATTCCTACATGAACAATGATTATATTAACTCATCAATGGAATAGTGTGTTACTTCGCAATGTCAATGTACGATGAAAAGGGTGTGTTATTGAATCGTGAAGCATGTCAATATACAGTAGTGAATCAGTTACGTGTACCTGATAGAGTATACTGTGAACAAAATGTGAAAATATTTAACTAACCTGGTCTTGCATTAGTTGTGTACACATGCAACCGATATCTGCATTTAAAGATTTATCAAAGGACTGGAAAGAATTTAGTAAAGACTTGCTATTTCCATATCACTGACTACCGGATATACAATCTGTATTTGCTTACGAGCACGTGTACGTATGTAACTAATTTAATCAACTAACCAGGTGATTAACGCTCACCTCATGTCATTTCTTGTTAAGCTTCTTTTGTATATTTCACCTTTTACAGACATCTCATATAATACCATGTCGGGTTCAGTGTACTCCGTTTGATATCAGCTGTGGCCTAGTGGGATATATATGTACCTGACCTCCGTACATACCTGCATGGACTTTAAACAAGAGGCCCATAGGCCTTAGGGGTCACCCGAGTTTTGATATATTTATACAAAGAGTTGATTTTTGTTTTTAAAACATGAACAGAAATATTATTCAAAGTCATCAAAAAACAATAAAACCACCTTATTCAATATCTAGCATACAGATTTAAGACTGAAAAGTATTTGAAACTAGCACCTCTGATTCTAAACAAGGAAAATGAAGAAATCTTAGCACACTGACTCCTTTGGGCCCCGCCCTACATTCCTTAGGAGTAGGGCTGACTCAAAATGTTTAAAGTATCAAACTGTCAACTCAGGGTTATAATTCCAATCAAGTTATCAACATGTAATATCCAAAGCATCATTTGCCAATATGAACCATAATACATTTTGCCACCCCCAACAAATGTTGGTCCAAAATGTGATTTCCCTATATAAACTATAGTAAAGTTTACCCCCTCCCCAGGGGGAAACGTGAGACCCCAGGGTCATGAAATTCACAATTTTGGTAAAGCACTTTAAAACCCTTCCATTTATAAAGAGTATTTGATTCTACCATTTCTGGGTCTTGAGAAAAAGATTTTTGTAATTTCTGTAAATTCAATCGTTTTTTACCCCACCCTTCAGCCCCTGGAGGTCAGTCAGGGCTGATATGTGCATACCATCAAACTGCTATCCAATACTGATAATGCTAACCCAAATTGAATTACTTCCAATGGAAATTAAACAAATGTTGGTCCAAAATGTGATTTCCCTATTTAACTATAGTAAAGTTTACCCCCTCCCCAAGTGGGAAACGTGAGACCCTAGGGTCATGAAATTCACAATTTAGATAAAGTACTTGAAGACCCTTCCATCTATGAAGAGTATTTGATTCTAACATATCTGGATCTTGAGAAGATTTTTTTTTAAATTTCAGTCAATTTGACCCTTTTTGGCCCCACCCCTCAGGCCCCTGGGAGCTGGGGACCATATAATTCACAATTCCAACCTTTGGCCATAAAAGGTTTCTGCGAAATTTCATTGAAATTGGTTCAGGGGTTTTGGAGAAGAAGTCGAAAATGTAAATTGTTTACGGACGCACGATGCACGATGGACGACGGACGACGCCGGACAAAAGGCGATCGCATTAAGTCTCTTGAGACTTTGTCTCAGGTGACCTAGAAAGTCGTTTGATCTTACTATATTCTAAACTCTAATACCATATTAATAGAAATAAAAATACGTTTTTATTGCTGGTTATCTCACCGTAAGTTTGATGTTACTTTGTACTTTCGGGAAATAAAAACACTAAATTGTCGTAATGGATCTCACTGGTAACAACAGACTACGAGTTTTATACACTTCGATTTTTCATGACCTGTAAATACTGACTCAATTTCTGTATAATTTTTTCTATTGTACTCAGACATATATTTATTGTCAATACAAATGCAATACTAAAGATACACGTACATTATCCCTTCAATAGAAATGAGAGACTTGTTCATTGACGTCGTCTCAGTTGGTTTTTACAATACCCGCGTCGAAGAAACGCAATGGGAATGTTAGTACACTCAGCGAGGACCATCTATGGCCAATACACGCATATACACGTCACGGTCAGCCTTACCTATACGTAGTATGTATAACATATCTGACGTTTACAAGTAATAAACAACATTGTTCAAACATTGAATACAATCAATAGCGTACACAAGGCAAAAACAACATGTTGCAATAATAAGCCTACAGTCTTATAAGAAACAGCTACTTCACAACATACAACGTTCTTGTTTTTGGCAAATTTGTTTAAAATAACAGCTCAGTTACTAAGTAAGCAGAGAGTGTTTTAATTATCGTACGTAGCCTGCAAGGTAAATATTTAGTGTTGGAAAAGGAGTGGATGTGGCGCCTGACGTCATATGAAACACAACCAGAGATTATTAGCAATCGGCAAAAGTCTAGAAGAAGCTCGTGTTAAATAATATTATTTAGGTCAAGTTGACGTGGAAGAACTTCCGGACTGACAAGGAATCGGACGAAGTTCCAACGATGCCTTTGCCAGCACAGTTGTGAACGATCATGTATTGCTATAAGTCACCTAGCGAAAACTTATTTTCTTGTTAACAATCACTGCCTCTGAAGTAAACTGCGTGAATGCGGAAACGTGTAAAATGATCAATCGTGCGTGTGTCCTCATTTGTCAAAGTTCATTCAGATAACACGAGTCACACATAATATAGTTACATCGCAGTTGTGCTAGAACAAATCTTAATCTTACATTAACTCTTTGTTATTGCTACTTGATTCATATTGACTAAATGATAGTTTATATAATTATAATTCGATAACCGCTTTATCACAACCTAGTTCGTAGATCGTCTCAAAGTGGTTCACATATTATTATCCATGATTATAGGGCCTTTGCAACCAGCCAAACTCTTTCTCAACTCCCTGGGTAGCATACAGCCGAAGCTGCCATTTCGGCGCTCACAGCTAGCATTCAACAATTTTAGCACTGCCCAACCACGTACTCATTTACAGCTGAGTAGACTGGAAAAAGCGAAGTAAAGTATCTTGTTCAAAGATACAACACGGCGCCGTGACGTGACTCTAACCCGCAACCCTTAGGTCACAAACCCGGCGTCCTACCTCTAGACTACCGTGCCTCGTAACGGTAAATAAATCTGAATCTGCATCAGATTGAAGATTGTTTGTTAATTTATATATATCGTTTCTCTAGTTTGAGGTGTTCAAACTTTGTATTATAAGTATCCGAAACATGTACCTAGTAAAGTCACAAAGCGTTACATTGACATATATATTAACAATACTTGAGTCATCTCTTGATCCAAGCTCTAAATATTGCGTCATACCAAAGCCAGAATGATAAATATCCAGCTAGTATACGGGTACACGACTGTACAGTTGTAGTCAACTGAAAAATAAGCAAAAAAAACAAATAATTAATTAATGCCATTTATTTGCAATCATACATACATACATTATTTGTATACCTGTAACAAGCTGTACATGACATTGTGTATAAGTTTGATGGTAATGTAATAAATATAAAGATCAAGAGATCGAGACGAGCAAAGACACATAACGGGCAAGTGAATCTGTCCACACATATCTAAAGTGGTATATATGCATATTTCTATTTTCGAATGTTTATTAAAGAAAAGTTCAATTAACAAACAAGCTTCTAACAAAAACCTGGGTTAAATTGTGGTGTTCGAGACGAGTCAACGTCGGGACTCATAACGCTAATGTGAATCTGTCCACAAATATCTAAAGTGTTATATACTGTATATGCATATATCTATTTTCGAATGTTTATTAAAGAAAAGTTCAATTAACAAACAAGCTTCTTACAAAAACCTGGGTTAAATTGTGGTGTTCGCCTTCAAAATAACTCATGCCAATGTTGAAATATCTCCAGAGTTATTATTTTTTGTAGATATCCAGGACTACATTAAAGATTGTCATAGTGTGATAGAAGGATGAGTCAGATTTGAAACGTTGCAACACGTTTAATACGTGCATTGTTAGTGTATGAGGTAAACTTTAATATCAGGTCACGCACGATTGACCTGCTAACATTTACGATACGGGAGACAGTATCGAGTCCATTGAAGTTTATGTTGAAAACCAGGAAGAGTACTGATAATTACAAATCAATTACAAGTGAATGTGTTTATTATTAACTGTGTCATTACTCAACACATCAAGGTCGATGACCTGGAGTTTGACCAAACAGAGGTTGGATCGACCGACCGATACAATCTACGGAGTTAGAAGAGTGCATGCAAACTGATCTTAAGTAATAGGAAAGTTTTACTTCATACGCAAACAATGTACTAATTAGCCGTGTTGCAACGTTGCAAAACCGACTGGTCCCTTTGTCAAGCTATGACAAGCTTATTTTTGATTTCAGCTCACGCTCCATTCACTATGTAAAAATAAGCAATATAGGATACTGTTGCAAGTGGAGTTTTTTTAAGCTGAAAGCGAAAAGATTAGAAAAATGCTTATTTACAAATCAATTACGATTACGAGTAAAGTGTGTTTATTAATAACTTTACCACTAATATTAGGGTTATGGCAGGTACAATTAAAACATGTAACCTGTTTATCGTTATTATATGCTTGGACATTTCTCGCAATCACATTGGCAGGATCCTATACACGTGACCAGTCCTTTAAATCATATAAACTAGTAATCCGGTGAATATCGATTTTCTAAAGATAATTTTGATGGACATTTTTCGCAAAAATACTAAAATATTAAGATGATGTTAAAACAAAAATAAAGGCCACCGAACACGCAGTGCATGTCCTCCATGCTTATCTGAAGAAAAAGAACCTTGACGATGTTTTCGAAAACTACGATTCCGAATTGTTGGATTCAACTCTTGTTAAACTTTACATGGAGGCTCGCTGCAGTGAAGTGATCTATACAAAAAATTATTGTTGAAGCATATTTGTACACAAAGTCCATAATTTAATATTAATATCATTAAAGATAAAGACTCTCTAAGCATTGCCTGCATTTTGCAACAGGCTTGAGAAGACAAATCATCATCCACTAAACTATGGTTAGCTGATTTGGACCCATGGTTACTGATTATATGTTTAAAAGTAGTATCGTAAATTGTACCTAAGTTATCCTTTACATATTTACTATTACATATTATCTAATTAACGGGTATTGCTAAATATTAACCGTTACAAAAGACTTCTTTCAGATTGCATTACTGGAACCAGTTGTCGAAACTTCTGTATCGCTAGACATTCTCGCTTCTCAAAGCTATCGTGGTACACTTATACTTAATATATTGTATCAAACGAAATACCATTTTAACGAACAATTCATCTGGCTTGAAATTAACAATACTTGACAGGCACATTGTCGTTCTCATATAATGCGGCCTGATAATTAAAACAAGGATTTGCGATATATTTTGAGCTTGAGTCAACGACAGACCGGTGCCGGTATAATAATTGGTTTCTTGTTCGGTTAACAGATTGTAACCAAAGACCATTACCAAATTGACAAGTTTCAACATTTTTATACAGTTTTTTGAATTGTGTCTTGCGAATAAGGGAGAAATGACGATATCTTAGATCGTTCAGATATTTGTATAGAAATTCGTGTTATTTAGTATCTAAACTTTGGGACAGTCGTTGGACTATATAGAAGAGGTATGAAAACGTTCCTAAATCCATGTATGTTATAGTTCATTCTAATTGAAGCACACTAAAGCGGTAAATTTTGGGAACAATATTATGAAAAAAGGGGCATGGAATATTTCTTTTGGGGGAAAAGTGAAGAAATTCGTGTTATTTATTATCTAAACTATAAGGCGACGACGTAATCAATCGTTCCTATATCCATGTATGTTATAGCTCATTCTTATTAATGTACACTAAAAGTATTTATTTTGGGGACAATATTATGAAAAAAGGGGCTTGGAATCCTTTTTGGGGAAAAGTAAGGAAATTCGTGTTATTTATTGTCTAAACTTTGGGACAGTCGTTGGACTATATATATGGCGACGAGGTAAGAAATCGTTCCTATATCCATGTATGTTATAGTTCATTCTAGTTTATGTACACTCAAAAAAATGTGGTTTTTTTTAAACTTCAGAAATTCGTGTTACTGCACGTAACCGGAATTAATCGTTATGAACATCCGATAGGTGAGCATATATACTGAATAACAAAACATGAAATATGAGCCTATTTTGTATCTCACACTTTTAAAAAAGCATTGGGACAGAATTATGATTTTTGCACATTCGTGTACGTAAATGGTTTAAACCCATGCGTCATTTTGGAATAGACAAATTTGATGAATTTGTGTAAAGATGATGTGGCCAAGAGACATCTGAACTGCGCTTTTAAATTATTTGAGGAAGGACGTAACAGAAAGGGATTGTTTACGTGCATCGTAACTAACGGATATTTTGAATATTTGGACGGCATCCGAAGATTTGCAACCGATAGATACCAAAATATAAAGTAAGATTTCGTTTAATATCCCTATCTATTTACAATATGATTAAGTACTTGTCATTGTGTAGACTAGAAACGAAGAACTAAAGCAGGTACATGTGAACATGTGAACATTAAAAAAAAAGTGAAAAAATGGAATTTGTAAATTGAAATGTTAGAAGAAGAAAAATAGAATAATAATTTTTTTTTTAAAAAGTTAAATGTTTGAAAAGAAAAACAAAGCAGGTCAAAATTTGAAAAATTAAACAATAATTGTTTTAAGTTAGTAAAAAGTTTTAAAAAGATGAGAAGTAAAACATACATGTAAAACCATAAATGTATATGAACCGATTTTATGTCATTATGTACATTGTCAATGATAACACCTGAGCATGCAATTTATCCTGAAATAAAGTTTTCATTAAAAGGGAAGCATGGATGTATTTAGAAGTTACTATGTATGTTTTCAGTACTGAATGTAACGCCAAATATCATTTAAAACGGGTATCGTAAGTAATACCTCACAAATAATTACTAACATTCACTGCATGTTAAGTTTATTGTTTTAGTCAATGAGTCGTGAACAGGTGGAGGATTTAACAACTTTCGGCGCCGATCAACAGACGTCGACAACATTAAATTCGCAGATTTTAAAAACTCGTTTATAAACTTTTTTGATCTTTTGCTGAAACCGGATTCCGTCGTCCTGAGTTTGTTACTAAAATCTTTAAAGTGTCCAACATGTTAAATACCTTGTAACGAGGGCCGTCGCTACAACAAACCAGAAGTATATACATTGCGGTATACCGGAAATGCGTCCCACGAATTTAGAAGTCGAAAATTGTCATTATTTGAAAATCCCAAACTTGGCGTACGCGACGTTCTTGAATTTATTAGGGAATCTCTGGACAGTCAAACTCTACACGATTGTGCTTCACTTTCCGGTAAAAGCTATAAAACGTCTTCTGTAGATTGGGCAAGTTTCATTTGAGAATAATTCAAAACGAATACTTTAAGTGTGCATTGATAAGAATGAACTGTAACATACATTGAGTTTGGAACGATTTTTTTTTACCTCGTCGCCATATATATAGTCCAACGACTATCCCAAATTTTAGATAAGAGATAACACGAATTTCTTCACACACTTCTGAACGATCTAGGGTATCGTCATTTCTCCCTTATTCACACGATACGATTGAAAAAAAAGTGTATAAAAATGTTGAAACTGGTCAGATTATGGAGGTTGACACAAACCCAACAGAAGGTGCATGGAAGCACACAGAAGGTCATTTCAAAGGGACGGGACTACTAAAATAAATTTGAGGAACCACACACACTTCCAATGACAACTAGTTTGAGGCGTTTTTTCGTTTGTTAAAAAGTATATTCACACTGGAACCCTTACTCAACTTCACCTATACCACCCCGCTCTTCAACACTTAGTTAATGTCATCTCAAAAGAATGGCAATACTCCCATCATTAGAAGTAACGCTGACAGCGTGGCCGACGATGAAATCGGAATTAGTGAAATTGCAACGGGTAACACTGGGGAACAGACATCTACTTCTAAATGTACGTTTGAAAGAGCATCCGCCCATGGAACAACACGCATTGCTCCAACTGCGCCAAGCACCAATAGTGAAGCTCCTACGTACACTTGATGTATGCAAAAAAAAGCCACCCCACGAATTTTGTTCCTGCGGTAGAATCAGAGAAGAAAATCGTGACAAAGTACCCCACAACAAGAACAAAACATCTACACCTAGATACAAAACAAGAAGTAATCGTTTAGTAAAGAAAACAGCGCATAATTACTTCTTTTTTGGAGTGGTCTTCATCCGATGACGATTTTGTGAAATAGTGACATATGTTCAATTGTTAACTGGGATTGTGTATCTTTGCTTTTGAAATCCTCATCATGGACAAAACCATACGAAATACTGTGCTACGTTTAATCACTGACAACTATATGTTTTTGTTGTTTGTTTTCAATGAAAGATGAGAAATATGTCCATCTTTATAATGTAGTTTCGAAGTATTCATTATGAAAAAAAATAATAAGAACGCTGCAGTAACTGAAAAGGATGAAATAGATATGACCTCATTGTTGAGTTTCATTGAAATATGAACATTATGAAATAAGATAACGTACTTATTGATGGTGTCCGTATGTTATGTTTAAAACGTCCGCATATGTGCACTGATGTAATACCTCCGTTATCCAGCAGACGACATACCGTTTGGAGCGGGGGTCATGCTCTTATATAATGGATGAAACCATTATACAAAAGGGTATTGCAAGGTACTATACACTATCGTATTTTATTGATTAAATTGTGATGTTGTAAAAATAATTTTATCATACTCACACGAATTAAAACAAACTTTTATATTTTGAAAATATTCCAACCTCAATATTGCAAACAAGAAAGAATTATGTTTTCAAATGTGCCACAACCTGTGTACCCTTACGATTCATTCCGTTATACTGGAGAAACCATATTGACCCGACGGTAATGCAGAATTTTCGTATTTCATAATATCCTTTTCACATTTACATATAATGAAGATTTGTTTCTAATAATACATATTAAAATTTCAAAAATTAAAATAAGGGACTTTGTTGACAAAATCCTTAATCACATTGAACATTATACCGATAGAATGTGTGTATAACATGCTTACCCTTTAGTTATGGTTTTAACCTAGACTTGGAGCCGTGTACTGCACAGGGTGCAAAAACATCAATTTGTTACATTACAGGATCTGAGTCCGTGGTTATATAATTAATAAAAGCTGACAATGGACTTTTGGACAGTACATAGACTAATGACTACTCCAATTAGTGTTCCAATGTATGTAAATGCATCGTCTGAACCACAGGGGTTCGTTCCTTTTGGCCAACAACGGAGTGGAATGAAAAAAAATCTTAGGGGTTCCGAATTATAACTCACACCACCCATTTCAGTGTTTTTTGTCTTCTCGTGCGGACCGTCCCAATTGTTGGATATTGCCGTTGCTATTCCATAGGTAGCTGTTCTACGGACGCAGACAGCGTCAGGTGCTACATGATGTACGCCATGCCTGACTGCTTAGTGCTCATAGTTATTATATAGGAGATAAACTGACACTACTTGTGGCGAACATATGAGATAAACTGACACTACTTGTGACACACGTGACAATGTAACATGTATAGTAGGAAGGTCAAGGACAACGCTTAGACCACTTAACCCCTAATATATACCCCACGTTAGATTACAACTATGCATAACAACACAGATAAGATATACTGTTACATGTACATGTATATCACACAGTCTTTTTACAACAGTCAGTAGTAACATATGTGTTAAAAGGTGACTTCAACAACAACAGTATGGCGGAGCACCCGAACATACTTCTAAAGAAAACCTTTGTAGCCATAGCCGGGGCCAGCAGAGGACTGGGGAGATCTATAGCACTGCAATTGAGTGCCAAGCTTCCCTCTAACTCCGTCATAGTTCTCATGGCCAGGAATAGTCGAGCTTTGGGGAGTGTCAAATTTGAAGTGATGTCTGTTGCGCCAAATATCAAAGTTTTGGTGCGGTATTATGACCAGGGAAACTTAGAAAACACGGATTATTTCAAAGACATATTTAATGAACTGTTATTGGAAAATGAGATATCGGAAGATGACTTTGAGCAATACATGATCGTTCACAACTGTGCTACTATCGGTGATGTAACAAAGAGATCATTGGAACTTTCCGACTCTACGTCAGTTCGGAAGTACTTCGACATTAACCTCACCGGGATGATCCTCCTGAACACGAGCTTCTTTCAGACTTTCATGGATTCTACAAAGTCTCGTGTCGTCGTCAATATGACGTCGGCAGCTACCTCAATTCCCATTGCATCATTGCATCTTTACTGTGCAGGTAATGACCACTTAAATGACATAGCATAATTCATTAATCTAATGCCATCAGTTCAATTATTTGATCAATAGTTTCATTTAATTGATTAAAACTTTGACCATTAAGTATTCATAACTCCGTATGCGGCGTTCACACAGTGCCGAGTATGGCTCCCGTTTGAGATCAGACAGCGCTACGTCACGAAAAGCGAAAAAGTCGGATTACTATCCTCAATGATCTGGAATAACCGATCATTGTCTGAACGCAGTCGTATACGCTCGTTACAGAGTCCTACTGATCGGGAAAGGTCCAGAGAGGTCGGCCAAGCACTCTCGACAGTAAGGTGCGTTCCGAAAACATTCGGGAAAAACAATCATGATGATGTCGTGATAGAATCTGCTGTATCGGATCAAAATCCTAACAATGTTCTGTGTGGTCTGGACGGTGTCTGGACGGTGTCCTGTGGATGGAGACGCTGTTGTGATGAACAGGCATGATTTGGAGAAACGTTTCATTGCCGTTTCTTGCCGATTGAGTCCAGATTGCGTCCAGATCTTGCCGAACGCGTCGGTTCACTGTCCGGTCACTGTTTGATCTCTGTCGGATCACGTTCGGGAGAATCGAGACGCTGTCGAGGCAGATTCGGTCGGTTTTTTTACTATGCAGAAGATACAAATTGGATCAGATTCGGATTGAGAACGGGAGAATCAAGACGAATTCGGCTTGAAACGACTGAATCGGGACGCTTCCTGTACAATATCTGATTGTTGTCGTGATTAAATAAATGTTTTTACAAATTGGTGTCTCGCCACGAATCACAGGATCATGATCAGACTTTTGACAAATTTTAATCGGGAATGGTCCTTGTATCAAGGTCAGCAGTAAAAATCCTGAATGTATGACTGTGGCCTCATATGATGTATTTAATAACTTTAGCAGTTATTATTGTCTCGTTAATATTATTTCGTATTAACCGACAACACCGTTATGCGATGGCGTTTCACTTATAATGAATTATTTAATAATGATAGCAACTTTTAGTTTGATACAATTTGTTGCCGGCAGGTTTGGAGTAAGGGAATCATACAGGCCCTTTTTTGTTGACACAGAAATTAAATAATTGACTTACATTGTACTAAATAAAATATTATTATGTGTAGTTGTTGCTTGGGTTGAAGGTTGTAGATTTTTTCGTAATTTTTGCTTAGATCCTTATAACGTAATTGATAGTTATTTATGTTATGTACCTTGTTGTTAACGTTAACTTTTAGGTAAGGCAATGTTGTTCCCGTTGAAGGTAGTATTTTTATTATTGTAACGTTATTGACTATTACTTTTTTTTTAACTTTGCTGTTCATATTTAATTACGATGTATGCAAAATGTACTCCTACCTATAGGTAAGGCTGCCCGTGATATGTACATCCGTGTATTGGCCGTAGAGGAACCGTCTATGAGGATACTGACGTTCGCACCGGGCTCCGCCGACACCGAAATGGCAAAAGAAGTTGAAAGATTTTCTATGAATAAGTATTTTGTTGGAAAAATAAAAGGTACGTGTGCTCATTGTAATACTGGGTCATATGCTAAGAAATAATTAGTTTTCTTTTGGAGATTATTTTAAGTCGTTACAATAGCAGTACCAAGATAAACATGTTTGTGTTAGATACAGGTTAATAACTCTGGTACCGTATGAATCAACTAGTCATTGATTCGACAATGTTTTATACGTAATTACAACATGTAGTTAGGAACCTAAATTTGATCTTGCGACTTCATCTTATATTGCATTTTTTATGTTAATGCACTCTACTTTTGTTCATTTTCCACAAATGTTCTAGTTATTGCAAATTTAATATTAAACTTAAACACACAAGATCAGTAATCTTGAATTGACAATACATAATAAAGTGTTTCAATAAATGAATACAATGTGTGCACACTGTAAAGCAACTGAGTAAATGTTGATGGTCAGTCAATATGTTTAGTGGGTACACGTGAAATCAAATTAAATAAGGATACTTGTCTTTCAGAATTAAGAGCAAATGGAAAGACGAAACATCCAGATACCCCAATCTTTAAGCTTGTCCAGATACTGGAGGAAAACACGTTTGAAAATGCTGTTTACGTAGAAAGTGACAAAATACTTTAGAAGTCTGCAGAATGTGAAAAATCGCATGAGAATAGCCAATTCAAAAATGTTAACTCCACTGCATCATTTTTTTTTCACACTTGTTTGATGTCAAAAGATAGAGGAAATAAACTATCTCTTATTTATGACTTTAATTTAGAGTGTTGATTTTTACTTCTGAAATGAAACATAATTCGTTTTATTGAATGAAAAAAAAAGGAAGGGTGTGAAGTCAAAAGATGGAGGAAATATAGCATTTTTTAATGTGATTTTTGTTTTTTAAAATTCGACAACACCCCAGTTTTATTGAATTCAATATGTATACATAGTTATAATGTAAGCATCAGAAAAGTTAATCATTTACATTATACTGTATACAAGATTAGATGTATCTTGATAAACTGAGTAGAAATTATAAGGATAGATAGACATCAATCGAACAATGGCATAGTTGGTGTTTAATGTACTGTGACGCAATAAGTCGATAAAATGCTTAAAATTGAAGTCATAGAATGCCATTGCTGTTATAAGTATAATGGGAGGAAACGATTTAAAATTCCAATAACTTTTATTAATGTCAAGTATAATATGTGATAATAACAATAAATGTGCTGATAGGCACGTCAAAAATAATATTTATAATATTTAATTCCTTTCAATTTCTTAATTTATATCTTTGACACAGATTAATCCTGCACGTACGAAAAACGAGCGTAGTTTAGTTTGGTGACTTTTTTTACGACATGGGTATCATGGAAAGGATTTTTTCAGCCTACCTCTTCCTGTGATGTAAATGGTATGGAGCCCGTATCACCCACCTAGTTTACATATATTTTACAAATTTTAGGGCGACACTCCAACAGAGTGCTCAAGATGCTCCATTAATAAATTAGCAAAATGGATGATACTGAGTTCAGTATCGAAATTCCCTATTATCGATGGGATACCTAAATATTTAATGGAAAGGGAACGCTTCTATTTGTTTTGCACGAATATACATGTATCTATATTGCTACATTTTAGAAAGTATAGGTAGCAGTATTCTATATACATGTTTATTATATAATACAGGTTATTTCCGTGCAATCTAAACGGTCAATTCACATGATATAGCACACGTACAATAAACATGCAAATGAGTCTTGTCATCGTGGAAATCAGGTCATATTCCTATGCACTACAACTTCTACATTTGTAAACAAAATGGCTGACTTTATTACTGGAGAGGAGATTATGTTTGCATTGCTAGCTGCTGAAGGGCACTGTGAACTAATAAAATTAATAAACGTGTTTCATAAATTCGATTTTATATGAACACAAGTGTTAAATTCGCGCACAAATTCTAGAGCTGCATGCTCAAATTCCATTTCAATTTCTTCGACACACACACAATCAATGATGACCACTTATAACCAGCCGTCTTCATCAGTGTTCTGGTTCTATGGCGGATTCCGCAGCTCAGTAACAGGAGGACACATCGATGTCCATATTCATTAAGAACCCTCTCTATTAATAAACGCGATCGGCTTATAGACAATGACAATCCGTCGCTGTACACTTTTTAAACATGCCGACTTCGATGTGTATTGTGATGACCTTTACTTTGACAGTGCACGAGCCTTGTGCCAAATATGTGACGTCACTGACATTTTCGTAATCGCCAATCCGTTGAATGGTTTAAGAATACAAACCATTGTTGATGTTGTTATGATAATTATTAAAGCATTGATTGATGAAAGGAAACCGAAATGGTTGTTTGTTAATTTAAAAGGTTATCAGGGAGAAGTTTCTGGAACTTTATTTAAGGCGCAGCGAGCTCCAAACATAATGCCTGTAATGCGTCCTTTCGTCAGCTGTCGCTATATAGAGGAGGGGTATTGAGAATAAGTATGTAGGGATGTTTCTCGAATTATATAATACATAGCATCTAACACTCGTGTTCATGTACTATTGAATTTATTAAACTTGTTTATTAATTCAATATTTCATGAACACTCGTGTCAGTTCCTTTATAAACATATTTAACAGAATAGATTAACCTGAATCCGGTTCGAACAATTTTGGGTTTTATGATTAATTATGTGAAATACAATAACTGCATTCATTTTATATCAATAATAAATTGAAACTTATGAATTATATTGTCAACAGTAATACATTGTAGTTTGTAGTGTATTTTACGACATTTTTTGTAATTATTTACATTGTGGAGATGAATACTGTGATGACATATATAACTATAAATAAAACAGAAAATCGGACATCGATAAGTCTAATTCCCCCTAATACAACAGAAAATGATAATACAAGTTTGAACTTGCGTAAGATTATTATATTTAGTTTGTGAATGTTTTCCTGAGATCCGACAATTATAACATCGGGAGGTTTTAATTTATCTTCAGATATCATGAATTCAAAATTAGTTGGTACATCGCCAGGTGTCACACTGTTATCATTTAACCTGCTTTTTGACCTATTTTAACACACCTTGTGGGATGCAGGTCCTTAGCGCAATCTCTAGATACAATGTAACCTTTAGGGGCATTAAAGTCAAAGGTACAACCTATCAACACACGCACGGGAAGACGTCGATATTTTAACAGATAAAACGCTCTTTATCAAGGCTTGATTATGCATAGACAAGCACAAGGGTTTAGAAAACAGATCTATTGTTAAAATAATAATATTTTGCAAATGTAAAGGTTGAATTCAATCAGATATATAAATGGGCTTAATAGACTTTTGTTAATTCATTTTCAAGTTCTTCTAAAATATATCTTTTTTGACGACGGATCCTTGTTCTGAATCATCAAATAGAAGAAATGATATACAATGTTTCAGTTTACCTAATAGAGGTTTATAGTACGAGAGGACGGTTTGTGCTGGAAAGGTTTCCTTTTTTACCCAAATTAGCATCAACACAGTTGCTATTCTATCTACGTATTATATATATTTATATATTGATTGTTTATATAAGTACATCTTCATATAACATTCATGATAACAAAAAACGAACAATAAATCTAGATTAGCTCTGAACATATCAAAAACGTAGGACGGGATCGAAAACAGCTGTAACCATCTATTCAACAATTATGAAGGGAGATAAATGTATGCTAAACTATGATAGATAACGGCACATATATGACGAACTTTGACTACCTAGTGCAGTCGTGTTATATCAGTCACTGGTAACATAATTATACGTTAGGTGGTAACTTCAATAGCAGAATGGCGGAACACCCGAACATATTTCTAAAGAAAACCTTTGTAGCCATTACCGGCGCCAGCAGAGGACTGGGGAAATCAATTGCACTTCAGTTTGGGGCCAAGTTTCCCCCTAACTCCGCCATGGTTCTCATGGATGTTTTGCCTATGGACAGTGTCAAGTCAGAAGTGTTGTCTGTGGCACCGACTATCAACGTTTTGGTGCGGCATTTTGACCAGGGAATCTTGGAAGACAAATATTATTTCAAAGGCATATTTACAAGACTTTTACAAGAAAACACTTTTTCTCAAAATGACTTTGAGCAATATATGGTCATACACAATTGTGCTACTCTTTGTGATGTGTCAAAAAGATCGCTGGAACTTTCCGATTCCACGTCAGTTCGGAAGTACTTCGACATCAACCTGACCGGGATGATCCTTCTTAACTCGAGTTTCTTCCAGACTTTCTCCGATTCTACAAAATCTCGGGTCATCGTCAATATGACGTCAGCACACACCTCAACTCCCACGGCATCAGTTCATCTTTACTGTGCAGGTTAGTTACGACATTCAAATCACTTTAAAAACCATATCATATTTCACTCAGTTATTGTTATAATTAAGTTAATCAATTAATATTTGCATAGCATTTGACTTTATCATTGATATATTGGTTAAGGTACATGTATCACGTTTAATATTTTTGATACATTTTTCAAACATGGATTTCTCCGACTTATATTCCAAATCGTCGACTTTATATAATGTATAACAGAGTTCTTTCTGGTTGCATGCAGTTTGATTAGGAAGGACTTGTGTTGAGAAAAATGGTCTTCGATCTCAACCTTTAGCATCGTACCCGTTACATGAATGTTTCCATGGAATTTCAATTACTAACTTAATCAGTAAAATGGTACAATGTTGTGACGTCATTGTTCCCGTTTAAGGTAGTATTTTTATTATTGTAACGTTATTGACAAATACTTTTTTCCACTTTGTTGTTTGATATTTAATTACGATGGATGCAACATTTATTTATTCCTACCTAAAGGTAAGGCTGCCCGTGACATGTATATGCGTGTACTGGCCGAAGAGGAGCCCTCTCTGAGGATACTGACGTTCGCACCAGGTTCTGCCGACACCGAAATGCCAAAACAAGCTGAACGATTGTCTTTTAATAAGTCTATTGTAGACAGGATAAAAAGTAAGTGTTTCATAGTATTACCAATGCAGAGAAAGATTTGGGAATTCTTTGGAGTTCATTTCCTGTTTTTAACAATGTCAGTAGTAAGACGTTCATTTAAATGATATGTAGTATTTTACTCTCATGCGGTTCAATAACTGTTGTCTCGCATGATTCAACTGATTTAATGATTCATTGTGTTAAGCGTAATTTTATTTACTTCTATATTTGAATATATGGTTTGCCATTTGTATACTTTTTGAGTAAAGTTTCATCGGCTTAAAGGTTCATAGTGTGTTAGATGAATGCGTAGCCTACAGTTAAAACTGAGGTCAATTAATATTTATAAGGCCACTTACTTATTTTCAGAAACTCGTGCTAATGGAAAGATGACGCTTCCAGATACCCCAGTCGCTAAGCTTGTCCAAATTCTGGAGGAAAACAAATTTGAAAATGCCGTTTACGTAGAGAGTGACAAAATATTTTAAATCTGCGTGTTGAAGAAAACATCGACTGAAAACATACAAAAATGCCAAACATATCTCATTATACGGACATTTAGGGTATATTTTAACATCAATTTTGTTTAAGCATCACATTTTGTTATCTTTGTTACAGATACTAGTGAGTAGAAGACTATGGACTTATTTATTACAACACAAGCAAGAATCTGTTATGCAATATCCAAGGTACATTCACATAAAAATAAATGCGATATGTTTTATGTGAGGAAACAGTAAAACAACAGTTATAAACCTCAAATAGTCATGGATGTCATCGATTCATCGATTTTTAATTTGAATTTCAATATGTGTATTATTTTTTGGTTATTGATTTTATTCTCAACCAAAACGTATGATATGTTCAGTATTGCATTTGATCTTTGCGAAATGTACCAAAGACCAGACGCTAGTGTACCAACGACCAGACGCTAGTGTACCAACGACCAGACGCTAGTGTACCAACGACCAGACGCTAGTGTACCAAAGACCAGACGATAGTGTACCAACGACTAGACGCCTGTGTACCAACTGACTAGAAGCTTATGTTCTAGCTAACCAGAAACCAGTAAAACCAGTTGACCATAAGCTACTTTTAGAACAGACCAGAGGCAAGTGTACCAACTGGCCAGAGTTGTGTGCAAGCAACTCAGTGGTTGATGTACCAACTAAACAGACAAATGTGTACCAACTGATCAGAGGCTAGTGAACCAACAGACAGGCTACAGTTGTGTGACCGCACAACGCACCGAAAAGAGCTTTAACACACCGTTCGCATATCGTCCACACATGGTGCGCACAACTGTACGATTTAACAATTGCACTAATCGTCGTTATCGTTTGCACATCGTGCACACATCGTTCACATACCGTGCGCACATCAATCACACACCGCGCATCGTGGAACATTGTGCGATGCCACAACTGTAGTTTACCAGCTACCAAGAGGCCTGTGTACCAACTGCTCAGATATAAGTGTGCTAACTTCAAAACCGCTAGTAATCTTATATCTTTTGTGTTTTGTAAGAGTCGCCTTTTTGTGTTAGTTTAAATTTTAATTGCGTGTTAAAGTGTTAAAATTTACTCTCTTTTTGGAATACATTTTGATTTTTTTTACTTGTCATGTAAGTACAACATGGTGTGCAACAATTGCACTACTCGTTCAGATTGTTATCCAATTTACTCTCTTTTTGGAATACTTTTTGAATATATCTTTTTTTCTTGTCATGATAGCACAACATTTTCAGATTACTTCACTTTTTGTATAAAAAAAGAAAATGTGCTGCTTAAATTCAATTTTTGTATATTATGAATATGACTAAGTTCATGAGTATGTTTCAGACAATTAACACGCTGTCAATCCAATGTAACACTGTACATCGCATTGGAGTATCTGTATCAAACATACGATGCATGCATGGCTTCACGAATCAAATTATATTCCACTCGTAATATTGCTACTGTATATAAAGAACAATTGTCCTGCAAACATAAGAACTGTTTTATTTATTCAAGATCCCGACAAAATGAATCCCTTAAGAAAAGGCATTAGGTTCAATTCAAAACCACCAGAATATTTCAGAAAAAGAAGAAATGATACCATTATAAATCTGTGCGAGAGTATCAATGATGTTATTGACATATAAAGCCGGCTTACATATTATCAATGTTTACACCGATACTTCATTTACGTGAGCATCTTGTTGAATGTTATAACTGAAAGGAGAAAAGTCGGAAAGAATTAGTCATTTCACAACCATAATTTACACTGTGTATAATTAGAGTAAATTGGACTGAACTGGACGCAGCAATCACAGGTAGCAACGATAATATGAGACATACAGCAAATAATGATCGACTATAAAACTTTGCCAAAGTAATGTCAGTTCATCTTACAGATATACAGTAAACGATAAGATACAATACAATGTATTGTATTACAATGACGAGTGCATACACCAAAATTACATTATATACATTTTAAGGTTGTTTCACTATTTCTTTTTTCAGGATTTTCCATCATCAAATGGCTTATACGTAACACTGATTTATATTTACTTGTAAAATATAAGTTGCGTCAGAGATAATTTAGAATAATATCCATCTTATATTATGAATTCGTCGATATATACTGGCCCACAAAGAAACGGTAGATTATTGTATTGATAATATGTCATTAATCTATCAAACATTTTGTAAATTAACACTGTCGAACTCGATAGAAATATGTTGTATCAATACATTGACCTCAATTTCATTAAAAATGCTCTATAAAATGACGTCACGTGTGTTTATCCAGAGTAGGTACAAATCACAGAATTAACATCGCGTGGAAAAACATCCATTGTGTCGACCACAGCCTGACAACGACGTCGCATGGATACAAATCCATTGTGTCGACCACAGCCTGACAACGACGTCGCATGGATAAAAATCAATTGTGTCGACCACAGCCTGACAACGACGTCGCATGGAATAACATCCCTTGTGTCGACCACAGCCTGACAACGACGTCGTATGGAATAACATCCATTGTGTCGACCACAACCTGACAACGACGTCGCATGGAATAACATCTCTTGTGGTGACCACAGCCTGACAACGACGTCGCATGGAATAACATCCCTTGTGTCGACCACAGCCTGACAACGACGTCGCATGGAAGCGATGAGTCGATTCAAAAAGGCATCGATATTTTCCGTCACTCTTCCTGTAAGGCCGTTCTAAACTGGTCTAACGTTTGAGGATGCTGACGTCGATTCCTCGTTATTCAGCCTCTTCAATGATTCTTTAATGATTAACGCTATTAAGCCATGGCAAGCCAATACCCAGGGACAATTTTACAAAGCTATGACGTCGTTATATTTCAGATGTTATACATATTTTAAATAATATTATTGGGGCCAGTATAAATGTGACAATATTTTTTTTTCTTATAGATAACACTTTCCTTTCTTTTATCAGACTAAGTTTGTCCTGAAAAGATTTCCCTTCAATTCGCATCGACACAGTAAACATACAGAATGCGTATTCTACGTTGTCTGATAATTCACTTTTCTAACGGAGATGGCTTTTTTTGTATTCATTATACTCACAACCTTAGTGATTGATAGATAACACATTACGAGCAATAAGTATCTGTCAAGTGATATTGATTAGAGAGGATTATCATTTTTTTTCAATAAATGTCTCTGTTTTTATGTATGTTTGATTACCAAGTCCGTCCATAGCGCGCCGATCGTCCATGTTTATATTTCGTACTCCAAATAATGAAACTACCGCGTCCGCGTGTTGTATTTTATGCTGTGATGTTATGTCTACAGGTGTATTGTGGTATTTGGACTCTACGTATGTTGATACGTTTGTATACCATATAGTAGTTCATTGATCACGTTTTCATTGCTTCGTTCTGGGTTGTCAGTTTTGGCAAGTTTTTTAGGGCTAATAACTCACGTCAGTACTTTTTTAGGACTCATAGGTGACGGACGGAGAGATGTAATGTAAGTGTTTCTTTGTCTTTGTGTAATATCCAATGTTATGTATTATGTGTTTTATAAGAGTGACAAATCTATTTGGATCTAATCTAAGTATAGATGATTTATGATTTGTTTAATAAGAAATCATATATGATTAGAGTATTTTTTTATATTAAAACGTAATAATGAAGGTCAGGTAATTTGATATTTTGTAAGAGGCGTTAATACGTGTGCTCATTTGCCCAAGGTTCGATAAATGTGTTTAGATGGCTTTTATTTAAACTACAGTGTATCGCATATGCTTTAAGAAGGCATCGTACATATAGGTTTTAGCCAAGGCCTGGTGCCACACTCAGGTATGTTATAGCGTTTTTTATGTAAAAAGTATAAATAACATTGGTTTGTGAAGACTGCTATCTGTGAATTTAATATATTGTCCAGTCATTTTGTGTGGAGTCAAAGCTTGAGTTTGATTGTATTTCGTAAAAGTTGTAACTGTGAATTGTATCGCAGTTGATACTAGATTTGTAAGGGTAAAGGTTATGTAATCGTGTAAGAGTTATTTCCCTTACATTTGTAAACGTTAAATGGGATTATGTATGTCTGTTTTATATCTATGACTGTAACTTGTACTTTGTACTTGTTGCAGGGTTCTTTTGGTTTTACAAAGCTTTCCATACACTCGATGAATAAACTGACAGTTAACAAAACACAAAGGAGTTTTAATTTTACAACGAAACCACCTCTACTACACAACCACCACATTCTGACCCTGCGTGTGTTGATAACCTCACAGATCATATATATTGTAATACGATACAACATTACTATGTTCGGGACATATTTCCATACAACTCGCATCGACACAGTACATATACAACATGCGTATTCTACTTTTATATAATCACTTTTCTAACGAGAATGGTTTTAATTCATCATATACACTTCCTTCGTGATTGATGAATAGCGAATTACGAACCATAAATATATGTTACGTGATATTGATAAGAGAGGATTCTCAATTTTCAATGACACAGCCAACACATCCTGACCCTGCATGGGTTACTCACCTTGATAACATCACGGATAATATGTACTGTTATGCGATACAACCTTACTATGTCAGTCACTAACAGCTTACAGGTAAGGCGGTGACTTGTTCAGCAGTATGGCGGATCACACGAACATATTTCTTAAGAAAACCTTTGTAGCCATAACCGGGGCCAGCAGAGGACTGGGGAGATCTATAGCACTACAGTTTAGTGTCAACCTTCCCGCAAACTCCGTAATAGTTCTCATGGCCAGGAATAGTCAAGCTTTGGAGAGTGTCAAGTTTGAAGTGATGTCTGTTGCGCCCAATATCAAAGTTTTGGTGAGAAATTATGACCAAGGAAACTTAGAAAACACAGACTATTTTAAAGACATATTTAATGAACTTTTATTGCAAAATGACATATCGCGAGATGACTTTGAGCAATACATTATCGTTCATAACTGTGCTACTATCGGTGATGTAACAAAGAGATCATTGGAACTTTCCGACTCCACGTTAGTCCGGAAGTACTACGATATCAACCTGACCGGGATGATCCTACTTAACACGAGCTTCTTTCAGACTTTCTCCGATTCCACAAAATCTCGTGTCGTCGTCAATATGACGTCAACATCTACTTACGATCCCTTGGCATCATTTCATCTGTACAGTGCAGGTAACCTACCATCTTTAAGGTACCCTAAATAATATGACATATTTTAAACCAATTAATGTCATCAGTTTAGCATTGGTTAAAGGATCACTTTATTCATTTCATTCGAATTGACAAATTGAATAAAAAGGTTAAGTGATCATAATTCCTTAGCTAATGCACATCTTAACTTTAGCAGTTATTTGTCTTGCTTATATGATTTGGCATTAATTGACAACATACATATGTGATGAAGTTTCGGTTGGATACAATTTGTTTCACGCTAGTTTGGCAAGAAAGAATTTAAATGTTAACGTTGATTATTCTTACATACACTTTATGTTGCATTTGGAATGTAATAATTAACTAAATAGATAAATAAAATGTAAGTATTTTGTGAAGTTGTTTTTCCGGTTCCAGGTTGTAGATTTTTATTGCAAGACCTTTATAACGTTATTGACAGTTGTTAATGTTTATTTCTTTGTTTCTGTTACTTGTTAACGTTTCATATTTGTCCCTGTTGTTAGGTAAGGCTGCCCGTGACATGTATATGCGTGTATTGGCCGTAGAAGAGCCGTCTCTGAGGATACTGACGTTCGCTCCAGGTGCCTCAGACACAGACATGGCAAAAGAAGTTGAGAGATTGTGTATGAATAAGCCTTTTCTTGAAAGATTAAAAGGTACGTGTGCTCAAAGTAATACTGGTCCATATGTAAAGCAATGTAAACAATACCAGTACTAAGAAATACATTTCTGTGATATATAGTATTTGGATCCTGATGCGATTTTTGATTCGGCAATGTAATTACGTAATTACACCTTGTAGTTTGGAACCAATATATGAACTTGCTACTTCAACTTTTAATGCATATAATATATTACGACAGTCTATTTTTGGTCCATTTTCTAGATGTTCAAGTTTTGTTTTGTGTCAAATGGGTTGAATACATTTTTTCATTAACACTTCAAACTGAAATACATCAGATCACTTAACCTGCATTGACAATAAATAATAACGTGTTTCTATATCTGAATACATTGTGTGCATGTGTATAGTCATTGAGTAAATGTTGATTGTCAATTAAGGTGTATTGTGAGTTAAATATAACTCTAAACTAATAGTTTCATGTGAAATTAACTAGATAAGGCTACTTCTATTTTAGGATTAAGAGCTGATGGAAAGTTGACACGTCCAGATACACCAATCTCTAAACTTGTCCAGATACTGGAGGAAAACACGTTTGAAAATGCTGCCTACGTAGGATTTGTTAATTGTTAATTGTGCTTGTTGAGTCTGAGAATAGCCGATTCAAAAATGGTAACATCACTGGATTATGTATACAGTTAGGGAAGTATGTGCACTCCGGAATTATGTAAACATTATAATTTAAAATATCAAATATTCATCTAAATGAAAATTCTAGTGGTATAATAGTTTCCATGCTTGTATGAATTCAAAAGATGGAAGAAATAAAGCAATACATATTGATGACTTTATTTTGTAGTGTGATTTTTTTTCTAAAATTCAATAACACTGAATTAAATATATATATATTTAGATCTAATGCAATCACCGGAACGGTTTATCATTTACAGTATACTGTAACAACAAGATAAGATATTTCTAAACAATTTTTTTCAGGTTGGTAAGTATGGAATATGAAGGTTAGAATGGATTATGAAGGTATTGGTCTATAGAGAAAAGACCCAGACGGACTAATACCTGAACTTTAAATCTCACCATCATTTGCACCAGACGTGAGGCGTCATACGCACATTGCCCAACAGATGTGATACAATAGTCACAGAACAACAGGACAAAATACAAGATCACATATCACATCGCTAGGTCAATAACAACCTGTGCATATTCAGAACGGGCCCTAAATCGGGCACAAAAACAGTGTCAAAATAAGGGAAAGAACAAGAAAAGGTCAATCAAGGTTAAGAACAAAACCAAACGTCAGGTGGTCATCCGGCATACAGTAGCCGTAAGCATGACGCCCCACAAAACGCTTTGTATTGTCCTAGTTCACACTTAGGATAAAAAACCTAATATAAACGTCGCCGAATGCGTATACAAAATTGGATGCAAAAAATGCGACGTATCGTATATTGGAGAGACTGGAAGGCGATTCGGGGTCCGCCTTGGTGAACACCGGAAAGCTACGGAAACCCAAGAAGGAAAGAAATTCACCCGATCAGAAAGGAAGCAGTCGGAGTCCCAGATAAATAAATCGGCAAACACATACCATGCCACGCAGATAAATCATGTGAATGCCGGGAATACACGTAGCTCTAGAGAACAATCTGTTCAAACGGCAGATAAAGGAAGTCATGTTGATACGCCGCAGTGAGTCAGTGCTAAATCGAGATGAGGGAACTCATAGACTCTCGCACAACTATGACCAAGTATAAAACAAAGTGTAGCTTAATCGAGTCATTTCGTTACATATACTGAACAAAAAAAGAAACGCACAATTAAATTATGCAATCAAAAGCCTATGATATTTTGGGAAATTTGTACAAAATTTTATATCAATATGAAAGGACAAGTCTACTCTTTACAATACTGTAGAAGAAAAGTCTGTGTGACGTCACTCGTGTAAGCAGTAGTTACTCAAAGTGGGATACCCGCGAAAAACAAAACGACACTTAAGTACCTGGTGTGGGCACCTTTTGCACGAATCCCTGCACGGATTCTCCTATGTATTGAATTCATGAGAACATTTATTCGCCTTAAGGGAATGTTGTTCCATTCTTGTGTTAATGCTGCGATCAACTGGGCACGGTTAGTTGGGGGGGTTTGACGTTTCCTAATACGCATGTCCAGCTAATCCCACAGATGCTCAATGGGAGACATGTCGGGGCTATATGGGGGCCATTCCAGAGGCTGAACGTTGTTTGCCGTGAGAAAATCACGACAGACTCTGGCAACATGCGGTCGAGCATGGTCTTGCTGGAAAATTAAGTTATGACGTCGAGAAGTGAAAGGACAAGTGGTTGGAGGATCTGGTCTCTGTATCAAACGGCATTGAGGTTTTGATCCAGGACCACTAAGGGGAATTTTACTCCATGGGAGATGCTTCCCCAAACCATTACAGAAGCCCCACCGAATCTATCGCGTTCAACCACGCAGCTCGGCGAAACGCTCACCGCGTCTGCGATATAGCCTTTTTCTTCCGTCTGAACGATACAGACAGACGCCTCCATCGATGCATCCCAAACCTATTCGGGCCATGTCTGCGCATCCAGTCAAGACGCACTTGCCGTCTCCGTGGTGTCAGAGGTGGCCCTACATAAGGTCGGCGCGCAATGATTTTCTCGGCACACAAGCAATTTCTGGCAGTTTGAGGACTAATGGGTCTGCCATGAGTACCTAAGGTATGCGACGCAGTCTCTACAGCAGTCTTGAATCTGTTGCGCAAGTGCGATAATCGAATCGCCCTGTCTTGTCGTGCGGTCGTTACACGCGGACGACCCCTCCTGGGACGATCGGAAACTAACCCAGTAGCACGGAAACGTGTACAGAAACGGTTAATTGTACACGGGCCAACACCAAATTGCCGTGCGAAAGTAGTTTGGCTATGACCACCCATCAACATCGCAAATGGTCTACCCCTCTGAATTTGCCTTAAGCGTGGCATCTCCGACAATGGCGAAATCAAAATGCCAACGTGGAAAATTAATGTGGCTGAACTTAGAGTATCCGTTGAGATTATTTGTTTGAAAAACGCCAGCTTGGCTTGATCACGCCGCGTGATTTGGACTAAAGAAGCTCACAGAGTCACACAATGACAACGTCACGCTTGGCTGATTTAAGGGTAGATTGTTGAGAAGGGAGATCGTTCTTGATGTAATACCTGACCAAATATTCCATTATTTCCTTACAGCTAAGGTGTACTGCAGGGGGGAACTTCGCGCGTTTCTTTTTTTGTTCAGTATATATAACAGTGTATGTACAAACGCTTACAGCGTTTCTTAACGTTAAGTAAACTCCACTAAGTCATATTCCTTTAACTCCTTAAAACGTACATGGCGAATTTCCCAGATCGTTTTCATTGCGATTCCTAACCAATTCAACTGAAGCGCAACATCCCTACTGGTACGTTTACGAGCTCTGACTTAGCTCTAATTTTAAAAAAGACAGACTATATACGGTTAGAGTCAGAGAAGTTGAGGTAGATAAGCTATATATAGTTTAACCAAACAGATATTAAAACGGTAGACAGTGAGACGATGCGTTTCGCTACAAAAACAGTCGACTGAGTCACATACACATGTAATTTAACCTGTGAATACAAACTGTAGTTCTGACTGTATCAGTGTAGAATTAAGCTTTGTCTGGGGTGTTTGCTTTGATTCATGCGAGATGTAGCTTTTAACAGATATTGCTCCCCAAACTGTCAAATATCGAAGTATATAAATAATAAATAAATGAATCATCATAAAGGTATTTTGGAGACAAATGAACCGGCATTTAAATGAATTATTTGCCATTCTAAATTGTGGATGCAATTATCATATCACTATCAAATGAAACAGTAAGCATTAACACTGAAGTATCAATGTCGTTAGCTAAACAATAGCATACAAAGGACGTATTAATTATGTTTTCATCGAAATTAAGCGGCCCCGAACACGAGCAAATCATATCCAGTGGATGTTCAACCTCTGCTTAACCTAAATATTTAATACAGTAACAGACAATGAAAGATTTCCAGTAGGTTTTCGTATAAGTAAAGACTAAGCATGTGTTGAATACGAACAGGAATTGAGAACTTATTTTGCGAGCATTCGAAAACGTGTGTTTCCTTGGTCAAACAAAGTGTGTAAACACTTTATATGACCGGTGTCTTGACTCTAAACCGACGAAAACAATTCATTAAGCTACTGTGTGCCGAATCAGTAAAGTCAAAAATCATGGATACAAAGGAAACAGACGTATCCATACCAAACTTATAAACCTTATTCCGAATTTCATTTTAGGTTAAAATTCAATATCAACATTTTCTATTTGTCAATGGGATACCTTAATTGTAATGAAAAAGGAAAAGCTTCTTTTGTTTTCAACGAATATGCGTGTACATATATTGCTACATTTTAGGAAGTATATATATACATTAAACAGTAGGGTATTTTCTGTCTGAATTAGTAACAGAATTAACCTGAATCCGGTTCGAACAATTCGGATTTTTTTTATACTTAACTATAAACAAACAATAATTCTACTAATGTCATTTTAATTATTAATCGAAACTTACGAAACATATTAACAACAGTAATGATTTGTGGTTTATTAAATGAGACATTTTTTCGTAATCATTTTATATTGAAAAGGTGAATATTGTGCTAATATACCTATAAGTAAAACAGAGAATCGTAATTGCACATCGACATTTCTAATTTTCTCTAGGAAAAAAATATATTAATAAAAGCTTGAACTTGTGAAAGGTGACTGTTTTTACTTATGAACTTTACCTGAAATCCGAGAATACTTACATATGGAGGTTTTAATGTATTATTTTCAGATATCACGAACTCAAACATTTGAATTAGTTGGTACATCGACAGGTGTCACGCTATTATAATTTGAAACTGCTTTTTGACCTATTTTAACAAACCTTGTGGGAAGTAGGTCCTTAGCGCACTCTCTTGATACAATGTAACATTTTGAGGCATTTAAGTCAAAGGTACGACATATCAACACAAGCACGGGAAGACGTCGGTATTTTAACAGATAAAACGCTCTCTATCAAGGCTTGATTATGCATAGACAAACATAAGGGTGCAGCAAACAGATCTACTTTTAAAATGATATTTTTTTGCAAATGTAAAGTTTGAAATCAATCAAATGTATAAAGGTGCTTAATAGACCTTTGTCAATTCATTATCAAGTTCTTCTAAAATATTTCTAATTTGACGACGAATCCTAGTTGAATCATCAAAAAGAAGAAATGATATACAATGTTTCAGTTTACATAATAGAGGTATAAAGTACTAGAGGGCAGTTTGTGCTGGAAAGGTTTCCTCTTTAATACATATTAGCATCAACACAGTTGCTATTCTACCTACATGTTCTATATATTGATATGTTTTCATTGTTTATATAAGTACATCTTCATATCACATACCTGATAGCAAACAACGAACAATATACCTAGATTAACTCTGAACGCGTCCAAAAAGTAGGACGGGATCGAAAACAGCTGTGACCACCTGTTCAACAACTATGAAGGGAGATAGATGTATGCTAAACCATGATAGATAACGGCACATATAAGACGAACTTTGAATACCTAGCACAGTCGTGTTATATCAGTCACTGGTAACATAATTATACGTTAGGTGGTAAATTCAACAGCAGAATGGCGGAACACCCGAACATATTTCTAAAGAAAACCTTTGTAGCCATTACCGGCGCCAGCAGAGGACTGGGGAGATCAATTGCACTTCAGTTTGGGGCCAAGTTTCCCAACAACTCTGTCATGGTTCTCATGGATGTTTTGCCTTTGGACAGTGTCAAGTCAGAATTGTTGTCTGGGTCTCGGAATATGGACGTTTTGGTGAGGCATTTTGACCAGGGAAACTTGGAAGACAAATATTATTTCAAAGGCATATTTACAAAACTTTTACAAGAATACAATTTTTCACAAAATAACTTTGAGCAATATATGATCGTTCACAACTGTGCTACCCTTTGTGATGTGTCAAAGAAATCGCTCGAACTTTCCGATTCCACGTCAGTCCGGAAGTACTTCGACATCAACCTGACCGGGATGATTCTTCTTAACTCGAGTTTCTTCCAGACTTTCTCCGATTCTACAAAGTCTCGTGTCATCGTCAATATGACGTCAGCAGTTACCTCCACTCCCATGGCATCAGTTCACCTTTACTGCGCAGGTTAGTTACGACATTCAAATCACTTTAAAACCCATGTCATATTTCACTCAGCTTTTGCTATAATTAAGTTAGGCAATTAATATTTTCATGACATTTGCCTTCACCATTGACATATTGGTTATTTTGATACATTGATAAAATTTAGATTTCACTGATTTATTTTCTAATAACTCGACTTTATAGAACAAATGTATTTCTGGTTAAATGCAGTTTGATTAGGAAGGATTAGTGTTGAAAAAAATGGTCTTGGATCTCAATATCAATTTCAATAACTAACTTAATCAGTAAAATGGTACAATATTTTGAAGTTGTTTTTATAATTGAAGGTGGTAATTTCATTATTGTACATTTTTTTAATACATTGTTTACGTTATTGACGATGACATTGTTTTTACCGTTGTTGTTCGATATTTAATTACAATGTATGTATACTTTGTTTATTCCTACCTTTAGCTAAAGCTGCCCGTGACATTTATATGCGTGTTCTTGCCGTAGAGGAACCCTCTCTGAGGATACTGACGTTCGCACCAGGCATCTCCGACACTGACATGACAAAACAAGCTGAACAATTGTGTTTTAATAAGACTAATGTAGATATGATAAAAAGTAAGTGTTTCATAGTACTACCCATGCAGAGAAAGGTTTGGGAATTCTTTGGAGTTTGTTTCCCGTTGTAAACAATGTCAGTATTTAGACGTTCACTTATTTAAGTGATCTGTAGTATTTTACTCTAATGCGGTTAAATAACTAGTCTCGCATGATTTAAGAGATTTAATGATTCGTTGTGTTATTCGTACATTATACCCAGTATCTTATCATTAATCTCCGAACTCACTTTGTGCATTGATAACAAAGGTTTATTTCCTTCTATCTTAAAACGATTGTGTATGCCATTTGTAAACCCTTTGAGTCAAGGTTCGTCGGCTTAAAGGTTCATAGTATGTTAGATAAACGCGTAGCCGACAGTGAAAATTAATATTTATAAGGCCACTTACTTATTTTCAGAAACTCGGGCTAATGGAAAGATGACGCTTCCAGATACCCCAGTCGGAAAGCTTGTCCAGATACTGGAAGAAAACAAATTTGAAAATGCCGTTTACGTAGAGAGTGACGACATATCTGAAACAATAAATAGATATATGTAAAGTTATTACATAATACGAACTTCTAGGGTTGTTTTACATCAACTCTCTGATATCTTTATTATAGATACTAGCGGGTTGAGGATTATGGATTCACGTATTACAACACAAGTAAGATATCACGCAATAGACAATGTATATTGTTAAGTAGAACTCATATATTGTAACAAATATACATCAATTACCCTTTGCCTGGTAAAGTTACACAATTTTGCATAGACAAATGTTTAATCTTTTATTACGTTTTTATTATTCAATTTTTATATTCTGCATGTAGGTAGAGGGTTTTTAAATATATATTTAAATCTGCATCAGCTCTATCAGTTACTATTGAGGCATCCTAACTCTTAAGTTCAGTGTTAAAACCTGGTATAGAAGTCATGATACAGCAGTGTAACATAAATGAGACACTTTAATGCAACAGGTATGCAAGGTAAATTGTTTAGAAGAATTTCTGTCTTTTCATCTATGGATATTATGATCTTTTACTTAGTACAGTCACATAACTTTACGTCAACAAGTCTAAAACCGATCCTAGAATCATCTCTTTATCCAGACTATAACACGTGTGTTTAACCGATGCCAGACTTGTTAACTTCCTAACAGTATTCGGATACATGTCTCAGCAGCTGTAGTCAATAGGAGTGTAATAACAGGATATGTGATATGAGGTGAGGGTTATAAGACCACAGGCAAATAACGTTAAAGCTGCTAACTTAAATATTTGCATTTTAAAACACACGCCACAAATCTGGGTAAATATGTTCATTGTCTGCAGGTTTGATGATATATTGAGAAAGCCTAAAGCTCCAGCAGTCAACCAACGTTAGTTGCAATGTCCAAAAACTTAATTTGTGCTACACCTATATTTGTTTCTTGAAACATTTGATACTGAAACTTTCATTTAACAAACAAATCTCTAGTATTTCTAAGTTCATTGCAATCAGGATGAAAAGACCATATCTAACGCATTCTTTCGTTGAAACATCCGGATTAAACAAAATCTGTTTGCCTCGTATTTTTCAAGTCTTCAAAAATATCCAGAACTAATTTGGTAAGGTTGTGTTACGATCAACTACCAGTGTTGAAATGGTATAACAATACATATTCCATAAAGGTAGCATGTATACCCTCTGTGACTTCATTTCTTTCATATTGTAACAAAGTTATACCCCGTCTTTATTTCCTAGCTGACGTAAGCTTCCAGCCCACCAGAATTTTGTTTCACAATTCATGTGTAATTTACTGGGGTTCATCGAGTCCTCCCAGCCACACAGTTGAGATAGTATAGGAGCCATTAACCCTAGACTGACCACTCTCTGTTAAAAATAGGGATCTCTACGTCATGAGTAGGGGGGGTGGGCAGAGTAGCCACTCAATAGTGAAGAAACCCCCTCCTTTCATCCGGGACCCTGGCCGATGGAGCCCAATTTGATTGGTCAATTAGTCAATAGGTGTTAATGAGGGTCGTATAAAAAGGGGTGCGCGGCTCCCTAGGGCTTGTTGAGATAAGGAATTTCGCACGAGATAGATTGGATTATACACATCATTACCTATTATAGATAGCGGCTTGTTAAACGAAGATGACTCAAGCAGGACTATCAGGCAGTTGGGTAAATACATAATATGTCTTGCCATTTGTTTAGATAAGTGTTTATTACTGTAATATTACCTTATATAAGTGTTTCATAATTTCGGGGGATTTTCCTACCTTGAAGATTTATATCTTTCTTCGTTATCTTGGGTCTTAACTAACTGTGTATAGTTACTAATTTCCCAACTTTATTAATCAACTAAATTATTTGTTTAGACCTTATTAACTCCTTATCTCATCCTCAGGCATGGAGGGGGTGATTTTTAGCTGTAGTGTCAGTGGTCACAGGAGTGACGGCAGCGATCATAAAATCACCACTTAGTCATGCCTGATTACTAGAACGACAACCTGTAGAGATTCATCCCATAAAAGTGTTAGGCAGAAACCACTTAGAATTACCACCAGATTTGGTTTAACGTGTAAATGTGAAGTGTCAGTCTGGAATAGGGTAATTCTTATAACTTGCGTGGAGAATAGAGAAGTGTCAACAGTGCCTCTGGATGTGTTTTGTGTATTCCACTGGATTATCGTGTAACCCTGGAACTGGATACCGTTTATAAAGAACTTGTGTTACTGTGCAGTTATATTGTGTTATATGCATAAGGGATTTATGTGCTCACTGTGCAGTATATTGTGTTAGATTCATAAGGGATTTACGTGACTACTGTGCAGTATATTGTGTTAAATGCATAGGGCATTTATGTGATCACTGTGCAGTTATATTGTGTTATATGCATAAGGGATTTACGTGATCACTGTGCAGTGATATTGTGTTAGATTCATAAGGGATTTACGTGACTACTGTGCAGTGTATTGTGTTAAATGCATAGGGCATTTATGTGATCACTGTGCAGTCATATTGTGTTATATGCATAAGGGATTTACATGATCACTGTGCAGTGATATTGTGTTAGATTCATAAGGGATTTATGTGCCTACTGTGCAGTATATTGTGTTAGATTCATAAGGGATTTATGTGCCTACTGTGCAGTATATTGTGTTAGATTCCTAAGGGCTTTATGTGACTACTGTGCCGTATATTGTGTAAGATTCATAAGGGATTTATGTGACTACTGTGCAGTATATTGTGTAAGATTCATAAGGGATTTATGTGACTACTGTGCAGTATATTGTGTTAGATTCATAAGGGATTTACGGGACTACTGTGCAGTATATTGTGTTAGATTCATAAGGGATTTATGTGACTACTGTGTAGTTATATTGTGTTATGTGCATAAGGGATTTATGGGATTACTATGCTGTTCTAGTGTGTTATATTCACAAGGGATGTATGTGATCACTTTGCAGTATATTGTGTTTCAGTCATAAGGCGTTTATGTAATCACTGTGTATTAGTATTAAGTTGTATTCATACAGGATTGACAAGGTTATTGCACAGTGTTAGTTATGAGGGATTTAGGAAGTGACTGGATTTATATTGTGTTGCATTCATAAGGAATATATGTGGTGAATGTGCAGTGGTATTGGGAGGTCAGTACAACCAAAGTGTTGACGGTATAATGAGTTGTGTAGTTTAATTAGTTACTAGTGATCAAGTATTTTGTGCTATTGGTGAAGGGATTATTATTATTCTGTCGTTGTTGGAATATTACCCGACCAGGAGATAGGGATTTATCGTCATATTATGTCATTGCGTTGCCTTACCAAATTTCCGCTATTAGTACTCCTAGAGGAATTTTACTTCGAGCTTACTTTCAACGTTAAGTTTTCCCCTCATATTTTGGATAGTCAGCCTATAATCAAATTCAATCATATTTCATTAGCAATTATAAGAGTACGTGTTGTTATAGTGTTTACACTCGACCAGTGGATTAGATTTCAGCAAAGGGAGTAACCATTGGTTATCACAGACTGGGGTGGCACACGTTCTCTCCCAGGCACTGTCGGGGGGAGCTGATTAACCGCCAGCTGCGCGGAGGCCCCAACGGAGAGGACACATCTCGAGGATCGTACGTCTTAACCATTACGGAACCCACCTTTGTGGAGACTACGAACTTGGATATCACCTTTTGTCAATACCTTCGATTACGGAAACTAGGGATCAGGATCAAGACCAAGACTTCATATTTTATGTAAATAGTCGGCACACAATAAATGTACATATTTGTATTTAATGAATCATGGTTTTCATTTAAGTAAGTTACCGGAATCGCTTACAAATCTGGGCTCGTAACACATTTTTCGAACCTCGAGACCAGTAAGGCCTTGATAACACTTTAGTGACGGCCTGTCAAATCGAGCCTTTGGCTCATTGTACTAGTCTCATATATTAACACATGTATATTTGAGGCTGGGTCAATAGCCATTTTACAAGACAGGTATAGTTTAGTTAATTAGTCGTCACGCACATATGGTGGCAGCGGTACTACTTCTCACATTACAGAGTTACAGACTTTGATTGATCAACCACTAATGACCATGGACGGACAACTGACGTATAACGCAGTCTAGACTTCCGTCGATCCCTGAGGTCAAGGGCAGGGCCGTGACCGATAGGGGGGTTACGTCACAATCTCGATAAAGGACGTTTCTAAGATGCATGACTCGTTAAGCATTTCCTGTCTATTGCGATTACAAGAGTGGATACTATACTAAGCATTACTTACGATCACCGACCTACTAAAAGGTAAAGCGCACTTACAAGATGTACCGATATTAACGAGCAGGTAACAGACATCGTCATGCGAAAGATATTTATAGATTATCACACTGAATTTTTAGGGTTTGTCGTGAGAATATTTTTTTCATCACGAGCATGTGGATAAAATCGAGATGCCACGGCAGGTGGCCTCGAGATTTTATCTACATTGTACGTGCGAGCGTTGAGAAAATTGTTCGAACGACAAACACTGAAAATACTGTATGATAAACTTTTAATCATCTATCTACTTCTACCTTATATATTTCTTCATTTAAAAAACTCAACTGAACACCATGTTTTAAAAAAATAGAAGTTTTGCGCGAAGGAATACAATGAACCTTTAAACTACGTAGAAAATAATACTTTTAAAACAATCCTATCGTCATTAGCTTGTCCATATGCACATTACACCATTATGGTGTTTTTCTTCTCACAATATTTTCCTTAACTCTGTATTGATATGTTTATGACGAACTATTTTCATACGCGGATCACTTTTGTGTGGACACTATTTACGGTTTCGGACGTCATCTGGCGCGAACAGACGTTCTTTTTTGAGAAATTACGTTCCCAAGGGCTAGGGAATGGGAAAACCGTTCTCAGGTTCTTCTCAAGTTGTTCCCAAATCGTTCTTAACTTCTTCTTATACTGACAACAAATGATAATAAATGTATCGTGTTACCGTTAGGTGGTATAAAGTACATTGTAGATGATACATGTAATAACTAATCTGGGGCGCCTAGGCTGCATTGACATTGATACTGTCCAAGATTGATAAGAACTGCATAACCATCTCCCTGTTGTAGATACCTTTATTGGATAGGGCAACCTGAGATTCTCAAGAGTGAAAGCCCATTACATGTACCTAAAGGCCAGAATCCCAAATGATAACTTGCTAGATATATGACGGCCTTTCAGGAAAAAATGAAAATTCTTATTTGGATAATGGTAAACTGTTGTTTCCTTTACTTACAATAATATGCAATAACATTACATGAACACAATGGATTCTGATGAAATCTTAATTACATTATACAATGAATTGTATACATGAAGTATTATGATGAATACAAAGTATCAGATTACAAAACTGATCAATGGGAGACATTAGTTATTTTTCCCCGATTTTTCAGATTTTGAAGAAAATATCCGTTTAAAATTGTAGATAGAAGAATTATTAAATTGAGATGCCTTTCCCAATTGAATGGTCTCAACTCAACTGGGTTGACCAACTAGTAGGGTGCTTGTAAACGCCGTTTTATGATGAAGATATACATTGAAGTTTGAACTTCCTTGTTGTATCATATTTTGCCAAACGACAGTGATAACTTTTATGATATTATTTCTCTTAAGGTAGCTATTGAAATGATTATACATTGTGTTGATGAATAGTGTGCTGATATCTATTTATAGGCTGTGTATTATACAAAAGCATCGATATTCCTATTTTCCATTGTGAAGAAACATCAAACCTTGTCCAAGTGAATACAATTTTTATGAACTTCCTTACTGGCACGCATGCATTGGTACATGCTATTTACCGCAATATTTCAAGCTGTTATCATTCGAAACTACCTTTTGACCTATTTTTAACACACCTTGTGGGATGTGGGTTTTAAGCACACACTTAAGTACCGATACTATAAAGTATATACATGCAATTACAGTCTGATACATCATACATAATACCACTGAATCAATAATGAATTTCAAAGATTTATTTAAGACAAATTCTATACTAGAATAACGACTTTTTCATAAGATGGAAAAAAGAATAAACATTTTCAATATATATCAGTAATCAATAACATTTAAGAATGAATGCAAAGCTTCATGTATATAAACACATTTATATTACATTTGTCACATTGTTTCACAGACAAACATTGATCTTGTATAGATAAGTGTTAAATTTATCCAGGGTCACGACAAACTAAATTTCTGAAGAAAAACAACGGCAAAATCCATTGATAGAAGTGAATATATAAAACAAATATAATAAATATATATCATTAACAGTGTCCTACTGAATTTAAAGGAGTTAGATATAGTCGATCTTTTTAATTCAGTGACATACATGTACCCTATAGGCTTGAGGTATAATAGAGCTTAGATAGAATGAACAGACAATTTTTACAAATCCATGTGGTACATTACACTTTATGAGGTACACAGTATATGTTATGATTGTAAAAAACCGTATTGTCAAAAATTGCAGGTAACGACAATATCACCATTTCATTACAACATTCGAGCGTTCAGCCTATTATGATTTACCATAAGTCTGAATTATAAAACATTTTATGCTACGGATATCATTCGGGATAAAAAAAAAATGGAACTTTGTCAACTTTGAATTTAATCCGAAATATAAAAGTGATGAATAAACATGTGTCTCTTAATTATCTCTGGAAATGGTTGTAATACCTAACATTCTTTAACACATTCAAGTTGACCAAAACTATTAAAATGCACAAAATAAACTGCGTTGTTGTCCTTATAATAGGACAGGATCGAACACAGCTTTGCTGTGATCACCTAATCATTACCTTTATATCACACAGGAACTAACAACTACCCAGGGAGATACATGTACGATAAACCATGATAACGGCACATACAAGACGGACCTTTACTACCTAATTCAGTCGTATTATAACAGTAACTAGTTACATACACGTTAGGTGGCTACTTCAACAGCAGAATGGCGGAACCCCATAATATATTTTTAAAGAAAACCTTTGTAGCCATTACAGGTGCCTGCAGAGGACTGGGGAGATCAATTGCACTTCAGTTTGGGGCCAAGTTTCCCCCTAACTCCGTCATGGTACTCATGGATATTTTGCCTTTGGAAAGTGTCAAGTCAGAAGTGTTGTCTGTGGCTCCGAATATCGACGTTTTGGTGAGGCATTTTGACCAGGGAAACTCAGAGGACAAAAATTATTTCAAAGGCATTTTTTCAAGACTTTTACAAGACAACAACTTTTCACAAAATGACTTTGAGCAATATATGATCGTTCACGACTGTGCTACTATGGGTGATTTATCAAAGAGGTCGCTGGAACTTTCCGACTCCACGTTTGTGCGGAAGTACTTCGACATCAACGTGACCGGAATGATCTTACTTAACACTAGTTTCTTCCAGACTTTCTCAGATTCTTCAAAATCTCGTGTCGTTGTCAATATGTCGTCAGCACATACCTCAGTTCCTTTGGCATCATATCATCTTTACTGTGCAGGTTAGTACAACTTTTTTAAAACATTCTAAATGCCTCGCCATATTTCATGTAAATACACGTCTGTGATTCTTACTAATTGTCAATAAATCAAAATATACAATTAGAGCAAACCAAGTTTCCGGTTGGATTGAATTATAGGACACCTTTGATGAAGTTTCATTTGACCAATCGCAATTACCAGTGGTCGTCCTATCGTTAACAAATCATATTAGTGAGTTCTAAAAAACCGATGAACTGATATAAGTAAAAACAAATCAGGAAAGTACCATGGTCAAAGGCAAACCAGACATTATATTATATGAACCATACCCCGGGTTGTGAATCAAATCTTTTTCAGAAATGGTATGGTCCTAAGATGCTTTGTCAAAGACGTGGATTTCGTTACCCCCGGGTCATCAATTCTCCTCTTGGGAGGGGATACATTTGGATATACTTTTGATATGGAAAAAACACTTTGAAGTATAATGTGAGATTTATTTCGATTTTGCTTGGACTGATAATCATATACTTGCATTTTAATGGAATGAGCATCAATACCTAACGCACCTCCAGGACTTAAGGGCACGGCCGAAAAGGGTAAAAAATGCTAAAGTTGCCACGGTTTCCCTCTCCAGTTTCATAAATGATAGCAGAAATAACCATCGTGTTATTGTACATGTAGTTTGAGGGTATGAACATATTCTCTTTCCGCGCCCTGAGGGACTAGTGGCAAAAGGGCCAAACTGGCTAAAATTCCAACAATCTTCATCTTTAGACACAGACATAATAGAATCTTATCTTTAAAATCTATCACACTGCATCATACAGCTGTTTCATCATTCAAAGATTCCACGGCGATGCTATTATATTATGATTTTGATAAATGTCGGTCACTTCCTAGCATCATTTTATCGGGGAATCAAAAAGCCACTGTTTGATAATGTGCATGCTTTTATGTTATTTGTTACATCAAAACAGATAATTAACTTTTTTACAACTCATGCGACTGTAACAACCAATGAGTCTCTTTTTAAAACTTGTGATGATAAATGAAATTTATGAATCTTAATGACCTTGATAACGAATTATAAGTAATGATTTATCATTATAATATGTATTAAATATATCATAATATCTGTTAAAAAAAACATTATTATAAAATAGTATGATATATATTAATTGCATTATTAAAATATATTACGTGAGGTCGTTTCAGTTTTTGACAGTAGTTATATCATCGTAAAATGTTGATTGGGCCTACTTTATATTATGTAAATGTCCATTGTACAGTATACACTTTTTGAGCTAAGATGTTTGGGCATTTGTTAACGTTCAACTTTTATCTACATACTTCGTATAGGTAAGGCTGCCCGTGACATGTATATGCGTGTACTGGCCGTGGAGGAACCGTCTCTAAGGATACTGATTTTCTCACCGGGTTGCTCCGACACCGACATGGCAAAACAAGTTGAGAAAACGTGTATGGATAAGTCTGTTGTTGAAATGTTACAAAGTACGTGTGTTCATGCTATTACCAATGCTAACAAATGTTTAAGTAGTCTTTGAAAGATGTGTTAAGTAGTAACAAAATCGTTTCTGTATTATATAATATTTAACCCTGATGCGGTGCAATGACTGTTGTCTAGTATGAATCAGCTGATGCAATGATTCCGGTTTGTCATATTAACTAACCAATTTTTTTAACATGCTACTTCATATTTTATTGCATTTGTGATGTGGCGACAGACTATTTTTATTCAGTTGCTACAGATTTCATTAAATAGTTTTATGTTAAATTTGTTAAATATAAATTCACAGTAACACTTAATATCACACTTAAATAAAGTATAAAGTAGATTACTGTCGTGTATTGACAATATATAATGACCGGTTTCTATATCTGAATACAATGCGAGCAATTTGTATAGGCGTTGAGTAAATATTCATATATGTTCCATAAAAATGCAAGGTGTGTTAGATAAAACTTTTAAACTTTAGTTACGAATACAATTATCTAAAATAAAAAATGGTATATTTTATATTTTCAGAATTTAGAGCTGATGGAACAATGACGTCTCCAGATGTTCCAATATCTACGCTTGTTCAGATTCTGGAAGAAAACACATTTGAAAACGCTGTTTATGTAGAGAGTGTCAAATTATTTTAATTCTGGGTATTGTAAAGACATTGCTTGAAAAAGCCAATTCGAAAAAAATGACAAGTTAAATATATAACATGGACAGTTAGGGAAAAATCGAACTAAGCAGTAACGCAAACATATTCTTTTTCTATTTCACAATATGAACAGATAAAGACAGACGGTGCCCCCACAAAAGATAAACATTTTACAAACTACAGTATGGCTGTATCAGAATCAAAATCGACCAAATCTGAAATATGTCTGATAGCTAATTGTTTCGCCTTTCCCTGTAATCCTTAAATTATACACCATTGAACATTGGGTTTTGTTCATGCTTAACATAAGAGGTGTACTGCTTAGTTTTCTAATTGATGATGAGTGTTTATTATAAACCGTGCATCTACCCAAGAGCTAAGCAATGCCATCAAGTTTAACGCATGTAAAATGTCCCATAGCATTATTCATATCGATCAAAGTCATTTCTAAGTTAAAGTCTCTCTTAGCATGACTTCCGTAACAGGCTTGAAAATACCTAAATCGTCACACACACCAGTATGGATGGCCGTTTCGGACCCAATACGGTACATCTACACAACATGAAATGGAAATTGATTTCATCTTGAAGACGTTGTATTGCATATGAGGTACCCCATTAGATAGTAAATGTTCAATGCGTATTTGTGAAGATATTTCGTTCACAATTTTCTTCTTCATACTGCAATACACAAACCAATTGGCAAAATGTCTAACTATTTATTTTGGTACGGTGATGCGTAAACTATTCTCAAAAATGTAATGTCCTGTAAACGAACATTCATTTGACTTTGAATTTGAATTATTGTAATTATAATAGTGTGGTGAGACATAAGTTAACGCACAAAATACAGCAATATCGACGAGCAAGTAGTAGACTTATAATGGACAGGTACATCAAAGTACACAATTTATCAGACGACAGGCAGACTGTTTACCCACCCATTGACCTTGACAGATGCACTCCTCTATACGTAGATAAGAAATTCAGTTTAAACAAGGCACATATAACACCGATTAGAGATAAACCTACCCATGTGACATATTTTTATATTACATAGCTCAACAAAATGTCTCAAACAAAGGCAGTACCGATGTTATTACACTAATGTTAATCATTTCTTATTTCTGTATGTAATGAAATATCTTGATTAACATGACTGCTATTATCGTGCTACCATACCCCCTATGGTCATTGCTCAATTTAGCGTACCTTATAATCATATCAACACGGTAGATACTAATGACATCCTGATTATATTGACAAGACGATTTTATTTTGACCCAACACCCCAACAATTCGGGAAAATGTCGGTATTTGGTGTTGGCATTCAGTTTCATCAATGTATACATTTGCTATGTTATAACGAACGAATCAGGAAATCACGTTGCTCAGATTGAAGACTGCGTTTTCTGTGGGAACCTGCGTTTTCTCTACAAAAAAACACTAATACCTCTTAACATTCGTTTAGGAGAATTCAACATTTCAACTACCCAATGATAGTAATGAAATAAACCATTAACAAATTACTTCAAATTACCTTTATATTGACAATTCGGTACTATATGTCTTAATTCGACTACAAGGAAAACACAAACGTGTAACTGTTTCTAGAGTCTAGAATCTATAGATAGTAAAATAAATTAAGTAAATAGTTTAATTATCACATCATCAGATGATTAATATAGAGTTAAAGAGAAAAAAGTTTAACCTGTTAATGATAAATATAGTACATGTTTATATTTAGTATTGTACATTAGATTAACTCTATATGAGACAGTCCTTACCTGATAAAACTGCTGTGTTGTCTTATTTACGAATCATTTTTTAATAGTATCAAATAAATGTACAGTTTTCTGAAGCAATTCAGTCCTATTGTTGTCGTGTAATACAGTGATTTAGGTCATTAATATAAACGTTTGGAGCTCCAAAAAGCAGCATGGCAGAACATCGGCATCTTTTTCTGAAGGAAACCTTCGAAGTCCTCATAGGTGCGAGTAGAGGACTAGGGAAGTCTATGGCAGTACAGTTCGGGGCCAAGTTTACTCGTCACTCCCTCATGGTACTCATGGAGATTTTGGCGTTGGAAAAGGTCGGATCTGTAGTGTTTTCTCTGTCTCCGAAAATAAACATTCTGATGCGAACGCCGGTTATTCAAAGACATATTTACTTAACTTTTGCAAACTCGTTACTTAATCCTTGATTTCAATTTAATTTTTAAGTAACATTTTAAGTAAATAGGACCAAATTCATTCTGGTTTTTTTCAGAACTTTGAACTGATGGTAACTAGATACCCCAACCGCTATGCTTGCCGAAATACTGGAGGAAAACTTGTCACTGATAAGACTTTAGGCTTTATACATTTGAAGTGGCATGCATTTTGTTAAAATGTATGCATCGGTGTTCTAGACTCAGGTGATCAAACTCGGCACATGCGTCACTAATACACGCACATGAAACTTGATATACCATCACCGGTGTCAAGTAAAATGTCATGTAATGGCATACATTACCTGCTACCTAGCACAGACACAAAACATAACATGGAAAAGCTTATAATCAATCAATACAAGATAGCTGTAAGTCAACGTCGGACTGACAAATATCTTACCAAATATTCAGTTACATGACTAAACTAAGCAAAAGACAAGAGAATATGTAAGGGCCACCGTAGTATATGGAAAAGCATTTATCTATTAACATTCTTTGTTTTAACATTGTGCAAATAAGGGAACACCTATCTGTTTTTATACTTACATACCTGCTAAATGTTATTAAATGCCCATTGTTAGTTGTATATGAAAGAACTCCATGGCTTTAGAAATCAAGAACAGAATGTTGCAGAATGCAATGTGAACTCCTGAACTAATAGAAAAATAAGAAAAACTTAATTTTTCAAGTGTTTAATACTTTCAAAATCATGTAATCTTTATAAAGCTAACATAATCTATTCCTTTGCAATATTGATACATCAGGTCATCAGCTGGAATTTGTTTTTAATTTCATACCCCCTCCATTTTTTAGTTGTGATATGTATGCAGAAATGCTATGTCGTTTTACCGGAGAAACGGTGTAATAATACATATTATGTAAACATCGAATGGGCTGAGGGTTTACTGCTCAAAATGTATTATAATTCGGCAAAACAATTGTGTTGATAGATATTCCCTAGTAAATATTCGCTGGTGAAGCATTCCATGGTATAACGTATCAAATGATATGTCGTACAAACGAAACAGCTCAATTTGCCTTGAAATAATATCAAATATATATTGTTAGGTGTTCATCAACAAAAGTAATGCAATTGTGCTTTTTTACATCCCTCCACTCACTCCTTGTTAATGAAAGTTCAATATTCGATCATTGGTTATGTTTTGTTTGTTTTTACAAATTGAATACAGTGTTTATCAAACGGTTTCTTCAGGCTTTCCGTCAGGTCTTCGAGTGCTACATTGTATCCAATTGACCATTTTTACGTTTACGCCTCCTTTGAGGAGTAAACAAAAGCATCAAATTAACATGACTGCACCCTGGACTAAACAACGATACTGCATAGTCCATACAATCATTTTATCTATATGGAGCAGCAGTGCTTAGCAGTCTCGTCTGATGCTCCTCTCCCTGTCTACGGTATGGATTCTTTTCATCAAATAGATGTATATCAACAGAGACTTCACTTAATACCATAAAAACATTGGAGGCTTTTCAATTCACTGAATGAAAGCTTCCCATACAATAATTTTGTTAGGCAGAGAACTGGAGTAAGTCTTGTCAGTATTAAGTACTAGTATACTGCTGGTCTAACATTTTGAATTGCGTGACACAATCCAGTACGTCACTTAATGAGATCAAGTCCCACCATCTGTTGTTATTCCAATTTACGTGTTGAACCGGATATGTGTACATGAACCGGAAGTAATCAGTTGGTTACAAAGAATTCATGTTATTGTTAAATAGTGTTACAAAATAGATATATACTGTAAATGAAATATATATGATATGGGATAGTAAAGTGGTAAAATTGCAACGTCTATACAATCCGTATGTGTTTGTATGATATAACTGAATGAGTAGATAGCGAATCCCTATACTTCAGTAAACAAGATGCTGGTATACAGTCCAGATTTCAGCATATTGAAATGTAAACAATCACCGATGCTGATTACAGCATGCTGATATGTTATATTAATTATGATTCTATACCAGGTAAGGCCAGTTACTGTTGGTAAATTGTACCTGTTAGTTAGACTAATTACTGCCACATATGTCTGCATGGATTGGGGACTGACAAATCAAGTATGGTTGTCCTAAAAGTACATCCCCAATCCATCAGCACATGAACCGTATGCAGTAACAAATGGCGCCTAGATTCTAAAATTGGTAACCGAATCGGTACTGGTTTGTCGCAATCTTTACATGGTTACGTCACCACGACCGACCATTGTTCAAGCGGTGTTTGCAACTGCATAGTTTGTCCTACTTTGGTTTAGAGTATAAACTCAAGAGCGGAAAACTGCCTTGCGCACTGTGGGAACCATAAGGAACACTTCCAGTTTACACACTAATGAACCATTAGACAGCCACTTAAACAAGCATGTTCCACAATACGATAACCAACAGCCACATGGGATAGAGTGTGACAGGAGACAACTTAGTTTCTTCCAAAAAATAAAATCCAAAGGAAAAGAACCTGGTGCACCCATTCCTTTTGGGTGGTGTCACAATTTCCCATTTTGATGTTTTTTGTTTTAACTGTAACTTTTCATACAAATATCTGCTATAGGAGCTTTGGACTAAGTATTTATAAGGGAATTTAGGTATGTTCTCGTAAAATCTAGTGACATTCTTTTAACCAAGAAACCTTAAACTACAGTAGAACATATCCGCATTTCTGTTCCAGAATGTTGAAATACATTTAAATTGCAAACAAATTAGTTATTTAGGATACATTTACATGCTATGTGTACCTTGCATGGATATGGCAATCAGATAAGGTTGAGAATGTATAATTACGCTACAAAAATAGGTGCCCATTGCGATCGATATCTTCCTTCCGACGTCGTGAAATTATTTCATTTCATTGAGGAATACATGGAGTCAACGTTTAGGAGAACGAGACAACCTTTCAGCCTTTATATCTGCATAAACTATCTGTTAAGTAAAATTCATTCCATTAGGTCCATGACCATAATGTAGATGTAAACTTGTATGTAAAGTGAATATCGTAAGCATGTTTCATTAAACAATAGAAATGTACATGTATATACAACCATACCTACACGTATGTCTTTATACAAACATACATATTCATCGTATACTTGTCAGGGAAATGGATATGTTTGCCATTACGATACTTCAAGCTGTATATAGGCCATATCTCGGACCGACCAATATCCTCCCGGGCCAACTACGTGGGATCTGGTTAATTCAATGACACGTCTTAGAAGAGTGAAGTATAATATATCATGTCAGATCGGTTTATGGATAAACATGACTTTGTTTAAATACGTTAAGCTTATCAAGGTGTACAATACATAAGATGTACGAACTAACGATGAAACAATCTGAATATAGTAGTCGTAAAAGGCGACTCATATGGGTCTTTCCTTCACAATGGGAGAGGTGTGTGTGTTTGTCCATGTCTTCTTTTCATGGGACATCGGAAAATCGAAACACAAAGAGTTGCCGTATCCCACTGTACATATACATGTAGGGTAATAGCCGGCTTATGTGAGGCCCTGTATAATTCTATTTAAGGGTCAATACAGAGAACAACATTGACCTACTGCCTTTATTTCAACTCTTTTGAACTTCTCCTTTGGACTTTGAACACGTGACAGTGTATGATATGACTGTCAATAGCAAAGGTAGGACCACTTCTCTCTGCACTTCATATCTCACGTTGGTTCCCAACTGTCGGGGAGCTTTTATATATATAAAATATAGATATATTACTATAAACGTTGATAAAGGCACATATTAGATATGCTGTTATATATCACAGCCGAATAACATCACATATGTTTGCAGGTGCATAAAATAGCAGATTTGCGGCACAACCAAACATGTTTCTAAAAAAAAACTTTTTAGCCATTACAGGTGCCAGCATATTTATTGGGAGATCTATAGCACTACAGTTTGGGGCTAAGCTTCCCCCTAACTCAATGTTCATTATTCCTTAGGCCTTGCGGCCCATAAGTTGCAACTACAAACATAAATATGTACAATAATATAAACAAGCGGAGAGAGAGAGTCATAACGGAGTGTTTTCATGCTTAGATTAAACAATATCATAATCAACCCTTCAATATATTATTTTTTTCCTTGAATGTCAAATGTACAAATTTTCCCGGTTTATTTTATTCTTTAACATTGTTTACACTTAATAAGTGAACTAGCTTGAATATACTAGGTTTTCGATAAAAAAAAAAAAAATCTTAATATAATTTTGACGTAAATCTGAATCAAATGGACATTTAAGTAAAAAATGGAATTCAACTCAATTTCGGCTTAATTGCAGCATGTACACATTCTGTCTTGTCTCGAAATATTATCATGTCTACCTTTCTCTATGTTAAGATCATGAGATTATAGTCTTATACTTGATACATGTAAACATTTGCTGTACTCTGAATAAACAGGTTTACATGTGGAGCTTTATGATGACCCCATGTTTCACTTGCATTTGCAAAAACACTGTTTATCTATGTAGCAAATACAGAGCATTGTGTTGTACTTCCTTCCTGCCTATTTACTTTCATGACAGGGTATCACTTTCTACTGCTTGTCTCAACAGTCAAGGGAAACTGTTCTCAAATGCTATAGTTCTTCCCTTTCGGTCACCTAGCTCTTTAG